AAACAAACTCGCATCCCCTTTTCCCCTTAAGTCCAGCATGCCTTTATCATTGGACGTGTACTTAATACTCGCATCCCTTTTTAAACAGACTCGCATCCCCTTTTTCCCATAAGTCCAGCATGCCTATATCATTGGACGTGTACTTAATACTCGCATCCCTATTTAAACAGACTCGCATCCCCTTTTTCCCTTAAGTCCAGTATGCCTATTGATCGTGTACTCAATACTCGCATCCCTTTTTAAACAGACTTGCCTCCGCTTTTTCCAATAAGTCCAGCATGGCTATTGGGCGTGTATGTACTCCTTTTTTTCCCATAAGTCCAGTATGCCTATATCAATGGACGTGTACCTAATACTCGCATCCCTTTTTAAACAGACTCGCATCCCCTTTTTCCCTTAAGTCCAGTATGCCTATTGATCGTGTACTCAATACTCGCATCCCTTTTTAAACAGACTTGCCTCCGCTTTTTCCAATAAGTCCAGCATGGCTATTGGGCGTGTATGTACTCCTTTTTTTCCCTTAAGCCCAGTATGCCTATATCATTGGACGTGTACCTAATACTCGCATCCCTTTTTAAACAGACTCGCATCCCCTTTTTCCCTCAGGTCTGGCATATATTAATATTGGTAATAATTACCTTGGATTGTTTGTGGCTTCTTATAAAGCGCTTAAGTCCGTCATGCAGCGACGCTCATGTCTCTATACAACAAATATTTACAAAACTTACAAATACTCAAATGGAACACATATAATTTGAAATTTAACATTGGGTATTAGCCGATGGGGAGATTAGAGTGTAAACTTATGTTTGAGTACCTGTTTGGAAGTGTATCCCATCGTAATGGAAGTGTGTCTCATTGTAACTAAATCATCATTCTTTTTTTCACATGTTTTCAGATAAAGTCATTCAACCGATAGTAATATGTTTCACGACGCATTTCAAACCCGAAGGGGTCAGTTTTGAAATTAAATATTGCTGAATGCGGAAGTGGATGACTTCCGTAATTTTTCTCAACACTGGGCACTATCCAAACATAGCCCAATCCCATACTACGTTGACCTAATTAATTCAAATGTAAAAATATTGTTTTCACTATCACGCTCTTAACTTTACTATATCGATTTCGTTTTAATATTAATTTTAGTCTTTTGGGTCCAACATTTGTTATCCCTTGTTCTAGTGTTTTGTCATACATCCTCATGCTGAATCCCTGGCCAATTCTTACGTTTTTTTGTGGGTACATTGTGTATTTTAAACATCTCAATAATGTCACTTTTTGTATTTTAAATCTTATGCTTTATGTAAATTTTTAATGCTTTTTTATCAGTAAATCATGTACGATTTGGCCTTCGGGCCACAACGCATGAGTTTTAATAAACCGGAATAAAATAATTAATATTACCCTGGATTGGACACTTGGGAGACACAAATTTTTCACACTTAAATGTGCCCAGTAACCCAATATTCCTTTGTCCTTTTTCCACGAATTTCAGTATGTTTACTACTTAGACCACGAACAACAAATATAATCTAATTGCGACGGTACAATTTTTCTTGCTTAAGTGGGGGGGGGGGGGGGGGGGGGGCTGTGACATTAGGGAGACATGAAAATGTCTCTCTAATGACCGATGTCTCCCATCGTGCGAAGAAATTACGACAACGTGTCTCCTTAATGGTACCATTACACGTATAATAATGATAATAAAAAAGTTGCAACAAACGCAAACATTCCAGTTTCTTTCTGTAAATAATTGTCCAAGTTTTTTCCTTAAAAATTAACATTACCGAGTTAAAACGTCGGTCAAGATTTACATCAGGGGTTCCCATCATAAAGATCCAATCTTGTAAATTCAAAATATGGATTTAAACGATTGGAAATGCCATTTTTGTTCTACGGTAGCGTCCGTTTTATTGTCTAATTGTCACTAATTAGGGTGTAAGTCTCCCCCACTTGAGCCACTTGAGCCACTTGAGCCACTTGAGCCACTTGAGCCACTTAAGCCACTGGTCAGCCACCCTGAGCCACCAGTCAACCACCCAAACCACAGGCTAATCCACCCAAAACCACAGGTTAATCCACACAATCTCCTAAATCCCAAACACAAGTTGAGTTAGCGCTTTCCCCTGGTGGAGCAGATTTGGGAGTGCTGTACGTCACTTGGTGCTGTGGCCTCTAACCGCAGGTGCTTCAACTCCATCGGGACTGGGCCAGAGAGGCAAGGGACCGACTAGGCGACACACGTTATATTGGTGGCAGCGGTGGTATCCACTGAGAGTGACGGGACAGCTAGCCAAAGGAACCACAGGGTGAGAGGGGTCAGGATCGATCTTTCAGAAGCAGTGAGTTGGGATAGCGGAATTCAGCGGTGGACGTGGAGAACCATTAGTCACAGCAACAATGGACAGCAGAGACAGGATGTTGGAAGAAAGTGTGGGATACTTTGAGGCAACACCGGCCAGGGTGACCAGCAGAGCAAGCATTAGGCTACACCCTGCGGTAACACCATCGCCTCCTATACTGACACCGGCAAGATCCGCCGAGAGGATGCCGGGTGTTGGCATCAGGGCGCAGGAGCCAGTGACGGCACGAAAGCTCTATCAACAGACCGGAAGAGTTGGGGAAGTGATGACACCTACGGTCGTTACAGCGGAGTCCTCTCCTCAGGCAAGATTCATGTCAACACCAGTGACATGGGGACCGGGGGTGGTAGAGCAGCCCGTCTACCGGAGTTTGACTGATTGGGGAGGAAGGCAATGTAAGTTGCAAGAAATTTTGCCGTCATGCCTGCGGGAAAGTGTCCTGGATGAACTCCATGATAGTAAAACGGTATGTCACCAAGGAGTGCGCAAGACCCTACACAAGGTCCGACAAAGGTACTACTGGGCAGGAGTATCGGCCGATGTGCGTTCCAAGGTTCGACAATGCACAGTGTGTGCAAGGAGGAAATCACCGGGCAAGAAACCCCGAGCTCCCCTTCAACAATACACGGTTGGCGCCCCGATGGAGAGAATCGCTCTGGATGTTATGGGCCCCCTGCCCAGGAGCGACCGAGGCAATGCGTATGTACTAGTTGTGGGAGATCCATTTACGAAGTGGATTGAGGCGTACGCACTGCCAGACCAGAAGACACCGACCATAGCACAAACTTTGGTGGAGCAATTTATTTGCAGATATGGCTGTCCAAAAGAACTGCACAGTGACCAAGGCACGAACTTCCAGTCTGCCGTATTCAACTTAGTGTGCAGATTGCTGGGGATCGACCAGACGCGAACTTGCCCATGGAACTTGCCCTAAGTCCGACGGGTTCATTGAAAGATTCAACCGAAGCTTGGTTAATCTGGTTGGGCCGTTCGTAAAGCCAGACCAGAAGGAAAGGATTGTCTCCCAAGCGGCAGTTCAAATGGATTGGCTCGTATCTGGTCCTGAATAGGTTATCAGACGTGAACTTCCGGGTACAGGAGAAACCAAAATCAAAGCCGAAGGTTGTGCATTATGACCTACACCAACTGATGAAGATGGTGTTCACTTGCCTGAAGATAATCCACTTCGGAGACTACAGACGACACAGTGAAATACTCCGGCCAGGGGGGCCAATCAGGCTCGAGCCCTCTGCTGAACGCACGGAAGAATTCGAGGAAGAACAACACATTTCCACCCAAGAAAACGGCAGTGAAGATATCACAACGGGCCTAATTCAAGACGAGGAGCAAGAACCAGCATCAAATACCCAACTCCCCGTCGGGCGGTACCCAAAACGCCAGCGACGACGTCCCGCTAGGCTACAGGATTACGAAGTTTAGCCCATGAAGAAAGAAAAGGATTTAGCAGAAAAATCTGCTAAAATGGTCATCGTTGCCACAACTTTTAACTGGTATCCTATACTTCAAGTGTGTACTGAAAGTGAATCAATCAGGCACCACGTGGTTGCATAGCAATCAGTGTGGCCACTGCTTGAAATTTTTTTCAAGATCTTGAAAAATTGAGACCCAACTTGAAAATTTGGAAAAAAAAAATGAAAAAGCAAGAAATCTTGAAAATTTTCAACTAAAAGTACAAAACCATATGTTTTGTAGAAACTTTGACAACTTTTTCCACTGAACACCCAAGCTTTTTAGCGACTTTTATTTTTACTTTGTAATTCTTTTAGCATTGACGCGCTATACTTACGGTCAGACCCTGCAGTGTATGTAAGCTTATAGGCTGGGCACTGCATGACGCGCGCTTCATTAGATGCCCTCTCCGGGAGAGGGCAATATGACCGTTTTAGCTCATTTTCGGCTAACTTTGACAGAATTTGTGTTAAAAAAAGAGTTTGACAGAAAATTTTGACAGATTGGATTTTTTTGGCAGATTTCTGGCAGGATTCTGCAAAAATAGTATTTTGACAGAAAATTAACAGCAAATGTGAAAAAAAATGGCACATTTGTTGAAAAGAGCTTCAATCCTTTCAAAAAAACCTTTGCATAATGGGACAGGTTGGCTGGTCTAGTAATTTTCATAGGCTTGAAAAATCTTGAAAAAATTTAGATGGCGATCTTGAAAAAAAAGAAAAAAGAGTGGCCACACTGATAGCAACCATGCACAACGTGTACCGTTTGTACGTACGCGTACGTGCATTGTGTGGGCGCGGCGCGGCATGGACGTACATGCCTCATTCTGTGTTTAAACCTTGTCACGTTGACCTCGTAAATTGTGCACTCCCCACTTCAGCCACAACAGCCACCACACATTCCACTTCAGCCACCACAGCCACCGCATTAAGTTCCACTTCAGCCGTCAACCACCGGAGACTCCATCAAGTTGGTGCATGAACCACAGACTTTCGTGCTGACAAGAGGCATCACTTACCGTCAAGAATTAGAAGCGGAACAGGGAGCCGACGGCACACCATTCCCTGTTGCAATGCCTGAGGAAAAAAAGAATGACCGACACCGAGATGAGGGGGGGGGGGGGGGGGGGGCAAGGCGTGCAAGGGCAGGACATGCGACCGGGAGCGGATGGAGGACCGCGGGGCTAACAAGCGCGACCGTAAGGGGACCGGCGATCACCATAGCACTGCAGCCAAGAGGGCTGAACGTCCCAGCAGCTCAACATGGTCGGTGTCAACCTTACAAAGGAAGCCGAATCCACAGAAGCCTGAGTCCAAACCAGCCCCGACAAACCCAACCGTCGCCACCTCCTACCCTTGTCGCGAGGGAAGTTGCGGCAAGAAATTTGCATCAAGGGCCAGCCTAGCCAGACATGTACGGGAGGTGCATGCGGACCCATCGCCCTTCATCTGCACCTCCTGCGGGGAGTGCTTCACCAGAAAGTTCAGCCTAGACCGCCACGCCGATTCCCACAGGCATGATAGGAAGAAAGATTGCACCAAGCCTCAAACATCTGAGTCGCGGTCCCCATCCACCATGCCACCAGAGCCAGAACTACAGCTTCTCCCGGTCCCCTCCACAAGCACATCCCCCTCAACCTCCACGGCCACCCCAAGACTGGGGGAAAGTCGTTGAAGCTGCTCCGACAGCTTCACGCAGAGATGGTAAGCTCGTCGACGGAAAGTGACGACCCGGCGGAGGAGATGGCGGCAGATCACATAGAAGTAACCACCATCACAAGAGTTTTCCGCCGAGGGGTCCTGTTCAACCAGAAGGAAGCCAAGCAGGACTTTTATTTTTATAAAAGAGATTAAAGATTCCAAGACTAGACTTGTTTCAGACCACTGAGATAGATGGTAAAAAACAATGGCCTGCCTATAGATCCCTGGGGGACTCCATGTTTCAATTTAACCCTAAAAGGGTTGGGGGCGGAATCCGCCCTCCTCAATTTTCCGCGATAGCTTTGATTTTTGTTTTTCGCGACCTGAGCTGTTATGACTTTTTAGCCTTGAGCCATGCGCATCTTTTGATACCAAAAATATAAAAATCGGACCACGGGTTGCCGCGCAGCGAAAACTTTTCTAGAGAAGACAACCGGCTCCCAGAGCTTCTGTTCGGGATTCACACCTGGCTTCTTTAGTAATGGATGAACATAGGTAATATTTATAACGCTGCTGGAATATCTCCATCCTTTAGACTCAAATTGACAACCTTAGTTCAGAGATTAGGCCTATACAAATTTGGTGTTCAACATAATTAATACTCATGAATACTAGAAAGCACCGCCACAATAATGCAACTATACATACGTTGTGAAGCTTGTGAACAAAAACAAGTTTATTGCATATAAAAAGCACACTGCATGTTGTTAGCTTATTTAAGATAAGTATCATACATTAAACATAATTGAATTATAATTTAATATAGGCCTAATACGTAACAAAACAACACCATTCAATTTTAAAAAAAATGTTATCGAATTTAATTCAGAAATTAAGTACACATATGTAATACTTTTAAAAAGGATAGAAAAAAAATGCAACGTGGAACAGTACACCGTTTTGTTTGTCACTATATACATGTACATGTCAAATTTATACGAGTAATTACACTGATTCATATACAGAGCGAGTTAAAAAAAAACACCCGGAATTTTAACTTTAAAACTGTGGTTGTGATTACAATTCCGTAACTTAAAAACTGCGTGAGTGATTTGAATGATTTTTGTACTAAAAGAAAGCTCATGAATCGGGCTTTCATAGATTTTGAAAGTGCTACATGCAGAACTTCACTGAAACAGCAGTCCGACATTTGGGTTTCGCTTTTTTTTTGACTCGCCCTGTATAAGCATTAACAATGAAAAATTGTGAGTAAGTTGTGAGGCATGGTTTAAACATTTAATTGAAAAAGAACAGCTTCTGCACGGGAAGCTAGATATTTGGTTAATAGATTATTTGGTTTCTTGATACTGTGGCAATTATAGACAGTTTCAATGGTGTTTGTGCATGTGGAAGATAGGCCTCAATTGAGCTTGCCGGCTACGCGGATGAAGCCGGTGTACGGTAGGGCGAGTAGGGTTTTCAAAAAATCCGGGAATTTCTCATACGTTTCAATTTACAACAACATGTCTAATGCAAACATGTATACAATCAATTACGCCAGATAAACCATAAGATGGTCGATTCAGCCTGATAGCATTGCCACAACTTTACAGAAATTGTATATTGCATTTATTTTTGTTTTCGTCGTGCACAGCAAAATGCGCGAAACAACCACTGCTTTTACTCAGTTCGGCTTTCGTTGCCGCCCACTGTTCGATGTGTTGCAGCGCTTTCATGTCTTCAAAAAAAAAACACCACAGCAACATACAGATTGCCAAAGTCAAATAATACGCTTCAAGCGAGAAGACACAGCAACTCAACAAGCACAACTTTTCAACGGTTCTGAACAACACCAATGCGCCTGATTGGCCATGCAAAGGTCAGTTTTGCTCCAGTTTATGTTTGCAATAATCTGCTCTCGGCCGAATGTTCAATTTGTAACTGTTTTACCCTCGACAATGTACGAGATCATGAATGTGCATCATTAAAATGGACGATAAAATGCAATCTGGAAGGAGACGATATGCTAATTTCTTGGCCCATTTCCAAGTCCCAGGAAAGTTTTCGTCGAACCGAACGTGTACTTCTGTGATTCTGCAGAGAGTAATAAGAAACAAGAAAATAAAGGTACTTTTGTTAGCTACTGCTGGCTTCACACATTAAACTGAGACAAACATTACAGCATCACACGTAGATAAATCAATGGGCAAAGCTGGACGCACATCCTCTCAGAATTGAGCAAACTAACTTCAGGAAGGTGAGTATCTTGCCTTACACACGGCAGCTGCGAAATCCAGGCTATCATCGCAAATTTTTGAAATGAACTTAAATGCACGTATATTGGTATACTTACCAGGGAACGAACTAACGATTTAGTGAGCGAGAAATCCGTAATAATTGGTCAAGACAGGGCTGATACCAAATACCCTGTGAAATTATTCCACCCGAAATGGTATCGGTTGGAAAAGAACAGTCATTTTCATGTGACTGGGATCTGCCTTGCAAATTAACAAAAAAATATTGTCCGTCAACTTTGTGTAGGCCTAAATGTGTGTGATGAAAGCATACTCTTTTGGTGTTGGTGAATAAAATGGATTTGGAGAATGCGATATAAAACGGCCATCCCGTGAATATAAGGCGGCCATCCCGTGAATATAAGACGGCCATCCCGTGAATATAAGACGGCCATCCCGTGAATACAAGGCGGCCATCCCGTGAATATAAGGCGGCCATCCCATGAACATAAGGCGGCCATCCCGCGAATATAAGGCGGCCATCCCGTGAATATAAGGCCCGTCGTACAATAATAACCACTTACTGTTGATTGGTTGCTTCTCCTCCAGCCAGAACTTAAAGCCCTGCTTGGCATGTGTGTTGTAGACGTTGTATTTCCAGGATCGTTTAGGCTGCTCTCCTAGGTGAGAGGCCGAGTAGGCGTAGGGTGAGTCAGTTAGGTTGGGTACTGATTGCTTCCTCGATACTAAACAAAGAAAAGTCATGCATTCGATGCATTAGAAATAAACAAACCCTTTTTGCAAGTTTGATACATCATCCTGAAATTTTCGGAAATCTGGGAACTTTTTCTTCAGTCATCTTGGGATTTTCAAATTTGATGAGTGCCAACTCTATTAGTTAAAATGAACTTGTGTTGTATAGCTTTATTTCTGTAATATTTCTGAAATACTTGTATTTGTAAATAGTAATGATCGTAGTATGTTTCACCAATGCACTTTTCCTTACTTACTTAACAATTTATAATATATGCAGGGCCCCAATAGAAACCGGTTTTCAAACAGTTTGGGCATACCTTGGGTAAAGCAATGGAATAAATAAATAAATAAATCAGTACACCAATTAGTCCAGTTTTGCAACTGCAGTCACGCTTTCTTTCGAATGTGGCGATTCAATGCAAAGAGCGAATACTCAGAACCTACACACGAAAGCTATAATGAAGTACAAATTAAAGCCCTCCTTACCATATGCGGTATATGTCTCTCCGCCCTGCCCAGCCCAGGGGGTCTTGATGGTGTAGGGTTTGACCTGAGGGTCGGGGCGTGGTTGAGGGGCTGATCTGATGATGCCAGTGCTGTTACCAGCATACAGGGGTGGATTCTGTCGAAAGGAAATTAAAACACAGTAACTATAAAGTGTTGATGAAAAACTTGGACACAGTCAATCATCCTTCATCATTCTGGCTGTAATCTCGTTGATTCTAGGTCTAAAACCTGAGTAAAATGTGATCATTTATTAACATTTTTCTGATGAATTATTTCGATAACTGATTGTTGATATGTCATAGTGTACGTTGGAAGAAAAGACCAAACAAAAACTCTCTTTTTAGGTCAAAGTGGTGGTTAATTTGTTTTAATGATTTCTGGTTCTAGAATTAAATTTGCCAATTTAAAACAAGTGTTTTCAGATCTATACACTATTAGGCTACTCACAGCTCTCTGTCCCTTGGCATGTGACATCTGCATAATCCTTACATCTTTTGGTACATCGACACCCTGCACGATCCAGCGCGGTAGGTTGCCGTATGCAAGTCTAGAATGGAAAGCAAGTATATTTTAACACAATATTACATATTATTTTCTAAATTGCGGCCTCATGTTTCTCCCGTTCGCATTTTTTTCTTCTGCAGGCTAGCAAAGTCATTAACCTAAATACGCATGCGTGAAGTGTTTTGAAATAACTTTATGTAGTTTAGATTTTCGGCAAAGATTGAAGCATCATTTTGGTGTGTTAGGTTATGCCGATGGATTATGGTCATGATGGATGTGTGGGTTCGATTCCGAATAGGCTACATTTGCTTTTCCAGAAGTGAATTTTCTTTCTCAAAATGTGTCAAGACATACTGATCAACAAAATGCATTTCACCTATTTCTCTGATTCATGGATCTGGAGGATTTTTTTTAAGGGAAGTAAAGTCTGAGAACCATTCCGTTGTAGCGTGAATTGAGGTTTCTATGAAATACGGATCATGGTAGTATTGCGCATGCCTTATCGAAGATAATTAGGAGAGTGGCCGGTCACTTGAGAGGTTTAACCAATAAAAGGGTATAGGAGTCCGATTTTCATAGGAGTCTGATTTTCATATGACACCGTTTCCAACCGACGCATGCGCATTATGGTCATTGACTCTACTTGGTTGCAGAAAAAAAAAGTAAATCATGTACATGCATACCCCTAAAATTGCCTACGCCGACCAAATCACGATTTGCATCAGCGGCCCTCAAATTTAATTCTCTGCTATTAGAGCATTTTGTGGGCCATGAACTTGAGGGTTTGTAAAAAAAATAAGGATGAAAGCCGTGAACAGGACTGTGAGCTTGTATTTCTGTGACATTTGCATGAAATTGGGCCCTATTACAACTTACTATATATTTTGCAATGGGCGTAGGCATCACTTTTCAAAATGGCGATGGGCTTCAGGACTACGTTTAGGGGTGATCATCTTTGGATGGAAATTTCTACCAAAGTCATCGGACTACCCATCAAAATTGTACAGAAAATGAAAGATGACGAAATAAACTTTAATTTGATGTGTGTCTTAAACCCCTTGAAGAGTTGTGAGTATTGTCCTGATTTTTGGAAGTTATAGTGGGGCAGATATGGACAATATTTGGGGCAATTGTAACTTTGTATTGATGATACACGCATGGAATTTTGCACACAGTCAGAGTTTGTCATGAGAAAGGTATTAAGCTATAGGGCCATCGCAGATTAGACAAACTATGGGTAAAATAACAATCGTAGTTTCAAAATTTTCAAAATGGCTGGCATTGCTTGTTATTCTATCTGCATGTATATTTTTTCAAAGGACAAATCTGCGATGGCCCTATAGCCAAATATCTTTCTCATGACAAACTCTGACGGTGCCAAATGCCATGCTTGTATCATCAAAGGCACAACCCCATCACCTATCTGCCGTAGGCCTAGTACCGGGGGTATTCATCACGGAAATGGGTCAACTCGTACCCGAGTTAACTCGTACCCGAGTCAACTCGTACCCCAAAATTGACACCCAAGTCAAGTCGTACCCGAGTTAGGTCGTACCCGAGTCAAGTCGTACCCCAGTCTACTCGTACCCGAGTCAAGTCGTACCCGAGTTGACTCGTACCCGAGTCAACTCGTACCCGCAGCTCAAATAGTTGCCTATTTTCGAAAAGAAAATCAGTGAAACCATGTGTTTATAGCTCCATGGTGAAACGAACGGAAGATCGGAGGGATATGGCCGGTTGTCCGTGCACGGTGACATCGTTTGTGCCGAGCCTGTGCGCGCACTCGCTGGTCAACGTGGTCGTACCGTGCACAGTCTGTGACATCGTTTTTGCCGGGCCCGTGCGCGCACTCGCCGGTCCACGTGGTCGTCCGTGCACGGTGACATCGTTTTTGCCGGGCCTGTGCGCGCACTCATCGGCCAACGTGGTCGTACCGTGCACGGTGACATCGTTTTTGCCGAGCCTGTGCGCGCACTCATCGGCCAAAGTATGCATGCTTTTATCAATTTATTTTATTTCTATATTACAGATGATCTTGTGGTTTTCCGATGAACCATTTTCTGCTGCTCAAACCGATCGATCGGATGGTCTGTCACACAGTTCATGATGAATCGAATCGGATGTCAAGTTTCGAGGACGAAACCCGATTAGCTCAGTTTTGTTTAAGATGATAACACTTTCTCTTGCACTTGAATTACAATTTGCTAATGTCAAACAATCTTTCACACCCAAGGATCAACTAACAAATTGGTCCCCTAAAACTTATAGAAAGAGCATCTCTGAATGAAACGAGCCACCATTTTCCTTTATCGTGTTTACTTCCTTGATGCCTCAAATGTAAACAAATAATTAAAAATCCTACATTTCTGTTACCAAAATAATATTCTAGTTGAACTTATCGCAGAAATTTTATTTAAGCTGCACAAGATTTTTTTACGACATTTACCGAACTAATTGTACAAAAAATGACCAACATATTAAAGAATCATTATAAATTAAATAACGATGTCCGTGTGACTCTTTTAAGTTTCCTGTAATATATTTTCTCTTCAGATTTGTACTTTCAGGGCCCCAATCTTCCCAAAGAGATTTGTGCCATGTGCAGTTTTCATTCAATAAATGCAAGGGCGGATCCAGGGGGGGGCCAAAGGGGGCCATGGCCCCCCCAAAAACGAAACCAATTTTTTAATTTTTTTATGTGACATCGCAATAAAGGCAGGCAATGAGTACACCACCATCTTTTCCTCAAAAAACATTGGTTAAAGTGGTCAGAAATTGCCTCAGATCGCACCACAGAGCATCTAGAATCCAAAAATTTTCGGGGCCCTTAAGCGGGCCCCGAACCCCACGCCGTAATTTTTGTGACCCACTTTTTTGGGGGACCAACTTTTTTTTTGGCCCCCTCCAAAATTGTGTTCTGGATCCGCCCTTGAATAAATGATGCCAAAAATGGAGTGAGTGAACGTTGAAAAATAGTACTTTTACATTACAAAATTCATTTTTTAATAGCAGCTTTCTTTTAAAAAAAATAAAGGTCTTAAATACTAAATTCGTAAAAAGAAAACTATGCCCTTAAAACACGTTCGACCGAACAAAAAAAAAAGACGTAGCAGTTCGCCCAGTCACTCCGCAATCTCAGTGATCCAAGATCTCTGAAAAAAGAAAGACAAAACATCATTACTAAGAGAAAATACTACACAAATTTTAAAATAACACATCTGATGATCTGGATGAAAAGTGAAATTTACCGTTTATCAGTGAGGGCTCCGTCGACTCGCGAGTACCACATTGATGCCGTTTTGAAAATGTTCTCCGCGCGGTACCCGTCCGTTCGCGATGAAGCCCTTGCCGATGAATGGTACATTTTCCCTTTTCATCCAGATTGTGATCAACATTTGATACCACCGCCTTCAACTAATCCTTGAACTTTATTTGTATTTCTGGCGGCGTAACTACTATTTCTCAGTTGCCGTTTTTGAGGGTAAAATCGGAAGTTTTGTTAACCATCCATCCGTACTTCCAAACTAAAAAAGGAGGGGAGTACGAGTTGACCTGGGTGCGAGTTGACCCGGGTACGAGTCGACTCGGGTACGAGTTAACCTGGGTACGAGTTAACCTGGGTACGAGTTGACTTGGGTACGAGTTGACTCGAGTACGAGTTGACTCGGGTACGAGTTAACTCGGGTACGAGTTAACTCGGGTACGAGTTGACCCAAAATCTTAATCGGAAATCACTAGGGTCTATGGCAGTTTATTTACTGGTCTGCAACCTAGCTATATCCGCACACAATAGCTGACATTCATGCCCCCACTATACATGTATTGAGCAAGACAGGGAGCAAGCTCAATACGTTGGTGGCGTGTTTCTGTCTCCCCTCCCCTACCCCCTCACCCTGCCCTTAATTACGCCCCCTCTCCTGGTTCCGCTGCTTCATCGCGAGTCGATATAAGTGCAGTGTTTTTATGGTTTTGTTACCGAGGGAATATCGGCCGAACATTTATCACTCTTGACAGACACTGCTGATAAGCGTCTATAGCACCGCTTTATGCAAGCAGCCGCCGGGGTCGTGCCCTGTACCTCCTACAACGATGGTAAATGGGTGGCGGAGAATGGTCTCCGTTTCAGGTATCAATACCGGTACAATTTATGTTCAGATAATACAGCACTTTGAGTTGATCTCTTCTTGTCATGCCGCCGACCGTTATTGGCTTGACACAGCCAATTCGCGCCGACAGTTTACATTCACGGAGTTGGAAAAGAATGAGGGACAGGGATTCATTTTATGAAGAAAAAATTCCTTAGGCATGTGTAAAAAAGCCTAGTGAGGATGGTCTTGAATGATATTATGCCTAAATAAATAACCTTGTTGAGCAAAACGATTTGAGTGTAAAAACGAAGAAACGTTCTGACAAGTTAATGATGGAGTTTCACAAAGGCAAGATATAAGTGACGAGTACCAATAATGTGGTTTGTGATTGAATGATACCATGGAGGAAGGAATTATATGATAATATAACACGTTTTGCATCAGAATAAAACTTATCTTGTGAAATGTTTACCGTACTACAAAAGATAACTTTTATTCGAATACGCAATGTTATCACAGAACGGTGTACGATAATCACAAAAACATCAGGGATTTGTAAAGCATTGGTTTAATCGAAAAACTAAACAAAGGTAGTTAATCCAACCATGGAGGATTTTTATTCCCTCATGATATGAATCCAACGGGAAGACAAGTGTACAAAAAATCTCCCCTCTATTTACGTCAAAACGGGTTGATCTTCTTGTTTTACAAGTAAGTACAGATCCACGATCAGGCCATATACACGTATATGTTATCCTCTTATCATTTCGCAAAACTAAGAGTTCTATATAATCGCCACCTACCTGTTGTCGAGATCAGCCGAGTAATTTGGGCGCACCTTGGGCCCCGGTTCTACCGATGTCGACCGCATGGCCATTCTGGTCGTCATGATGGATTATCGGCGACGGAGGAACTAAAACTACGGTATGACGGATTTTGGGGAGATATTTTGGATGACTTTATCAACATAGGGGTATAAACATGCTGTAATTTGGGACACTACTACCGCGTAGTTGCACAAAATCCCAAGTAGTATACACGACCCGTCCGTATAGACTAAATCTCCTTTTGTTATGTCATTGTACAGTGTGCGTTATGAGGTATGGTCGGATAAATACCCGGCCTGATGTTGCCTAGTTACGGTACGCTTTACCACACACGTACACGGTAAACGTCGTACCTGAGTGACCACACAAAGACTGATTGAGGTGGAGGGTTGAAAGTGACGGGTGGGGGATTAGTCTTCTTCACAAGAGAGCTTGAAACTAGACTAGAGTCATGACCTATCAATGTAGTTTGCGAAACCCCTGGCTTCGTCTCCGACTTCGTCTCCAGCTCAAGTTCATGAGAATCCTGCTACGTTCAAATCAATGAAAATACAACGACCATAATTATTGGCCATGCGTAGCGGAATACAGGTGTCTCTGTCTCAGAAAATAGATCAAAATTATACACTGAGTCTATCAAGTAAGCTGACTGAAATCATAAGCTGAAGCCTGAAGCCGAAAACGGAGACAAACCAAGAATTCGTTAATGAGAATTGCTGGCTTCTGTATTCGCGCCATAATGATATGCTTCCTTTCCTCAAGTCTGATTGGTCAATTATTCAAGTTTTGAAGAGGCACCCAATGTAGGCGTGTGTTAAAGTGGCACATCGTCCTGAAATCGCAGAAAAAAAAATGTTTTGACTTGTTTACTTATCCCATTTCAAAGGTCTGTTTGCAAGAAAACTAAACCTAATGTCTCGCTGTTCCTGAGAACAGATGGGGGGGGGGGGGAACAACCGGTTGTTTACTCCTGAAGCGGTGGACGTTTTCTGGCATAATTAATAATTATGACCTTCCAGTGGTAAATAAGTCCTTCTTGGACTTAGGAGGTCAATGATTCCCCTATCTTCTGTGTCCATGATGTCAGACGATTCAATGAACGGTACACGTCGTGCGTGTATAGATGTACATGTACTACTACCAGCACCAATAGGCCTACAAAAATGTACACGAGTATTGATGTGTATATATATATATATATAAAAAACTATACAAAGGACATAATTATGCGACAAAAAAACACGACTAACACCGTGAACCCCGAAATTTTGTTCTCGCAAGAATAGCACAAAAACAGCCAATTAAAGTATGGTTGTGTGTCGAAGGCCTGGGAAACATGAAATCGATATAATGTCTTACATTATACGGAGACAATTAATTACATCTAATACGCGGCAGCTTTTTTTCCTTTATACAATATACGTATTTCCAGCAGCGAATAAAGGAATTGAATTTTGATGAGCCAAAGCCGTCAACGTCAGACCATCGCCGCAGAATAACGCGTACTAAGCAAGTGAAACTTAACTGTCAAAACTCAGGTACCAAAATATTTAAACCACTAGTGTTGGGGAAACATTTTCGTAAAGAAACGTATACGCGTTACTAGTATCAACACCAGCACTCAAACGGTTTGATTTGTATCCTCAGATTCGTTTGCGAGGTCATTACACGAACACGACAAATTTCAAAAGAACAGTTGTGTGCATGTTCATATTGTACTTTATAAATATCAAATCGGGGTAAACGCGTTTTAGAGCACTAAATGGCGCGATCGAGATGTAAGCTGCCTTAAATTTTCAAAACTTTGAGCGAATGAGAAGCGATGATAGTTTATTAACCCCCACACTGATGTTAGTCCTTTTTAACCCAGTATAATTATTGTCCAATTTGATACAAATGTGAAACTAACATTTTAGTATAGTTCTGATTTTGGAACAATGGATTTATTTCTGAGCCACCGACTGCTGTGATAAATGTACACTTGATTGTGTGATCCCTGCACATATTAACGTGAAGTTAACATAAATGTCTCCTAGTTTACTCGAGCATGTACATCTACATGGATTACTCAGCAGTAAGCGACATGCTCCAATCGCCATGGTTTGTCACAAAAGGCAAATACATGTATTCGGATTAGTTAAAATATGTCAGGGTGAAATATGTGCAGAGCAAGACGTGAGTTTGTCCTACAAAGTATGGACAATAAATTGTCAAATTTAATTTGTTTTAATGCAATCTTTGAAAATGCACCTTTGTGTCCTATTTAATTAACCTTATTTTCAATTTTCGGTTTGCCGTTTTCAAGAGTATTTTGGTGCCTTTATGGTTTTTATACTAAAGAGAATTACATTTTCATGAGCAAAAGTGTGATGTCATTTCAGGCAGAAATCTCAATGTTACAGCTAGCTTAGCACCAAAAGTTGCCAGAATCTTGGATCTTCTGCAGTACTAAAGTTTCTTTCTTTTGTGCTTCGTTATTGTGTCAGTAAGCCAATGAGCAACCTTTTCTCAAAAATGTTTTCAATGAGCAAATTTTTGGGTTCACAAGTTATCAGAAAACCCCCAAATCTGAACAGCGTCTTCCTGAAAAGACATCACAGCAACAGTGCCCAGCACCTTTGAATATTAACCAATAAGGGATGTCAAATAGTTTTCATATATTTAAGAGTAGAAAGTTGCACAAAATATGTTCCCAAGAAAAATTCATGTCATGGCCCTTTAAAAGTAAGTTATGGTCACAGTATGTGCGAAATAAGCCACCACACAAAGCAATAGACCTAAAGCCCGGTTTATACTCGGCGCGAAAGCGAATTTGTGGCGTGATGGCAAGTATTCGCGCTGCGAATTCGTAAAAGTTGAACATATTTCTACTCGGGCTAATTTCGCAGCGAATGTTTCATGACGTCAAATTCGCTTTGCATTCGCATGAAGTATGAACCGGGCTTTATGCGTTGGGAGGGTGTCCTTCGTTTTATTTTCTAATCTAAAAACAGTGAATACACAAAAGGTTTACTCATGCCTATCCAAGCGATACAAAGCCATTGCCCCATGACTCCGACCACACGCATAGGGTCTATTCCTTTTCAGGGTTGCCCAGCATTTTTGTTGCTGTGCTGTTTTATTCATGGTCGGTATATCTCCAACCCCATTTTGACATCTGGATCCTCCTCTTTTGCAAGACCATGTAACACTATATTTGCATATTGGTCAATCCATAACAGAGGTTTCTTTTATTACATGCATCATTGGTAAAAGGCCTGTGATGTCGTGGGTTAGAAAATTCTAAAGCCAATGACATGCAAACAATAATTCCATAACTATTATTTTAAGTGTGGTCTTCCTGCTGTTAAAGGTAACTAGGTTACTATTTGTTTTTAATTAAAGAATGAGGTTTAGTGGTTAATTCTAAGCTGTATTACTTTTACTATTTCTACATGTGGACAAGAAAATGAAGATAAAGGCCAATTTTTTTTTGTTCTCTGAAGAATCCTGCTCTCTCCTGGCTGCCCAAAAGCAATTTCGACGGCTGTTATAAACTTAATACAGTAAAGCAAAAAATGAAGTTTAGAAACAGCATTTATACTGTATCATTCTTTAAAGGGAATATTCATCATTTGCTTTTTCTGTAGTTTTCAGAAATGGATGGATTTGGGGGGTTGGTAATATATAGCAAATATTTTTACACTGACTTTTTTGACGTTTTGGGTTCGTAGATGCTATAAAAAACAAGAAAAACAATCATTTTCTTGTAGTCTGGTTCCCTGACTCCAAGATGAAACTGAGCAATTTATAGACATTGGGGAATTGTAAGGTTAGGGAACCAGTCTAGCTGGCTTACTCGCTCATAGGTGTGTAATCGATTGCAAACAAATGCGGACTAACTAAATATGGTCAACTGGGACCAGTATTTGAAAAAAGCCAGTTTTTTCAACGCTGGTCAGCCGACCAGCGTTGGAAATTATACAAAAATACCACTTTTCTTGAGAATGACAGTATACCAGGTGCCATGAATTTACATGATGCTTTAGATTATCAAACAGTCCAGCAAGGTATTTCAAAATAATTTGGTAGTTTTATTTTTTGATGTTTGCAAATGTTGTATTTTCCCTTTAAAGTTCATAACCTTGTACAATTTTATTAACCTTTTTCAAATGCGTTTTGCAAATAGACTCTTCAAATATTTCTTGAAATAAGGACTTATCTGATTTTTAAGACAACCATTTCGGCAATGCACTTACTAACATATCCTCACAGATACATGTAGTGTGAAATTACAAATGTTGCAAATCAGCCTTTAGGGTTTGGACACCACCCTTAAAAGAAACAGAAAAAGTTTGGAGACTACAGCATTCGGGGTAGCTGTGGAAAACGCAAGCCGGATCGAGTCAGTTGTGAACACAGAATGCGTGGTGCTGCATGACCTTGAAGATTTGTTTTTATCAAAGTAAGGTAGCAAGTAAGGTAGCAAGCCGGATCGAGTCAGTTGTGGACACAGAATGCGTGGTGCTGCATGAACTTGAAGATTTTTTTTTATCAAACTAAGGTAGACATAATGTCGTCAGTCCTTCTCAGCAAGCGCTGTCAAATGAACATCAATTTCTGTCTCTGTCAGCACCCTATTCGAGAAAAGGAACAGATAAAAGAAATTTATTTGAAAAAGAATCAAACACAGTAAAAGAAAAAGATGAAAATTATTTTTCTTAAAAAACAACCAAATAACCAAAAAAACCTGATTTCGCCATTGACATATTTAGAAAGAGATAATTATTTAAATTTGAATATTACAGTGTCTTCAAAGTGTAAATGGCACAAATAATTGTGTTGGTTAAAGAAATGTCAAAACCTCAAATGTTTTACAAAAGGAATAGACTGCTGCAAACTTGAAAAGCTTTAAAACTGTTTTCAAAGTTGCAAGGGCTTGAATTTTTCAATCACATTCTTTCTCAAACCTGTTGTGAATTTTGTGTCTCCATAATGTGTTGTTCATACATTTTAATATGATAATTTTACTGGCATTTTATTATTAACAATTCTTTATTAATTCCTATTTTCCTGTCCTGTATTTTAGAGATTTTACTTATTTATCTTTCAATTGAGGATTTGGTATATTTGGACTTTTTTTGTCTCATTTAATTTGATTGTTAATCTTTGTATTGTTAGTAATATCTATGTTTCTTGTTTTGTTTTAATTCACTTTCTTATGCTGTTTATAAAATTTAGTAATATGAACCAGGGCCCCTCACGGAAAGCAACCCTGTATAAATAAGACAGCAAATAAAAAATAAACAAATAAAATAAACCCTCAACCTTGGTTGTTAGGAAGGGGTCCAAAGTTAACCATCCCCGTGTGAGCAAAGTTACTCATAAAGTAGACCAAAACTGAATAACTTGCTAATGGCTTGCAATGATATATGCGGCTATGGATATGGCTGAAGCCATTTCCCACAGACATATGCGTTATTGAGAAGTAAGTCTGACGTGGCCATAGTCTTAAGAAAGGTTGACTTGGTTATAAGGGAAAAAACAGGGTGGTCTAAAAAACGTTTATGCTTTTTGGACGCATATTTCTTGGAATTGGGGAGACACCTTAAAATTGTTTCAAGATATTCCTAAACTACAGCATCTTTGTGGTATATGGTGAAAACGGCGCTGAAAATACAGCCTAAATTAAGAAATGGCGATGGTTTAAAGAAAGATGGTCAAACACCAGTTTGTCCACATGCAAGTCTATGAGATATGGTCAATACAATAGCAATGCACACACAAAGAACTGCAATAATTGTAATTAGGTCTACATGACTGCCATAGATGAGGACAAACTAGATACTGACCAATTTTCTGTAAATATGTGCTATTTTTTAACTTGAGCTTTATTTTCAACGCCTTTTTCACCATACACCTCCATGGTCTTGTAGTTTAGGAATATCTTAAATCAATTTCAACATGTCTAGATCTTTTCAATTTTGAGAAATCTGCCTCTGAAAAAAGTGTCCTTTTTTTGACCACCCTGCACTGTAGCTGGCAGTCTTTGGTCAGGCGTCATGCCATAAAATGAGACTACGTAGTAATCATGTTGTTAGCGGCACATCCACTGTAGACCAGTTACATAGTTGATGTTACATTTTAATATCAAACATGCAATTTTAACCTTCCTAGAGCACCTACCTAAACTTGTTGTTGTCTTGATTGACCACGGCGACTTCAATTTCAGAGGGTTTGAAATCGGCTGATAACACGGATGACAGGCATTTAATGGCGGTCTAGGAAGGAACGATAATCAAGAATAAGTGCATTGTTACCCAACATAACAAGACTGGCCAAGTCTATTAAAGTTGGTCCTGGAGTGCACAAAAAATGTATTCAATGGATGCAGAATGGCACTTCATGGGATACGGCTCTTCAGCATGGCTAATTACCTCTATGGTTTGATCGTAAGTCCAGTCCAATTTCTTCTTGATCTTCTTTTCCAGGAAGCTGTTGGCCTCGGTCTGTTTGACCCCTACGCTGGTGGCCTTGAATCCGCAGTAGTAGCCGGCCGGGTCTGTCTTGAACACCTGTGGACCCACCTCATCATCCCAACCAATCAAAATCATACCTGCAAGCAAAACAAATATCACGTCGATAATTTCAAAAAAGATAAATGGAGCCGACTTTTCTTGTGTTCAAGGAAGATTTACATCTACAAGCTGCAGCTACAACCTGCAACTTGAGTTGGTTTCTCTTGGACATAGCCATGTCTGAATGGGGTATCTTGTGGCTATGACTTTTAAGTTCGTCCTTGGTGCGGTGTGGTCAAAAGCCATAGCCATTGACAGCAATGTCCATTTTGGACATTACCATAAATTAGCACAGACTCACTGAGTGACACCACTTTTTAACCAAAATAATTAAAACTGGGTTGAAGGCTATTTGAAACCTATTGCCTCTGAAATTACTTTCATGCAAAATCCAGAAACAGTGATGTATGTGTACATGAAGCTTGCCAACTGCAACCAAATTCAACATCTAGAATGAAAAATACATCTGCTGTTCTGTGTTTGGATTGACTGGACCATTGAAAACATGTCTGTTGTAGGATCTTGTGGCACTAAGTAAGGATAAAAATACACTGCGTCTTCATACCTATATGAGCCACTTTATACATGCCTTCTAAAAAGAAGTTAATAATCTCGATACTAAATTATCAAAGGTATTTGCCTAAACACTTTTTTCATTGTCAACTGTACATCTGTCCTGGGTTATATTTATGAGGTAATACATCTAACCGAAAAGAACAAAGAATATTTCGGAAAAAAACCCCGAGTCAAACACTTCCATCAGTCCAACTACTCACTGCATCCGAGTGGTCTCATCTGTGCATTCTGTGTGTACACCTGGGAGATGTCAGCTATCCGTTTACATAGCATCTCAACAGGGATTTCATAGCCAAACTTGTACCTGAAGTTAGCTGCTTCGTAGCGGGCTCGGAATACTTGTGACCGACTGTCAGCTGAATTTGGGAAAAAAGAATGAGATTGAATGAGATCGAGTAACAATTGTGACCTGTTCTGTCAAAATCAGACTTTTCTGGGCATAAAGTCAAAAATGAGATTTTTGCATATTGTTAAAAAAAGTTCTGTTGCCTTTTGATAGGTGGTTTAAGTTTTGAAACCGGTCATTCCTGGGCAGAGTTATGCTATTTTGAAGTTCATTGTGTCGAAAAGTAGAAAACGGAGAAAATGGCCACGAACGTCACAAAACAGTAATTTCTTTAACTGATATACCTTAGCCAATCATCAAAAATACTATATTTAGAGTTCAAATTAGGGTTTCAAACTTTCATTGTATATTTTAGACATGTGCAGGATAACAAATATGCAAGAATTAGAAAATCAAAAAAAAAATCACCCCCACAGCATTTTTTGGCCCTATCTTGACTTCAACCTCTGCCCAGAAGCGTCTGCTTTTGACAGAACAGGTCACAATTAAGAGTGATGACATGAGCAATTATCTGTCTATGGTGACTAAAATACAAAATATATGTAGTTGGTGATAAAAAATACAAACTTCTAGTAGTTGGTGATAATAGTGATGATGACACTGCTGGATGTGAGGGTGATTCTAAGGCTGAAAAGGATGATCAGGAGACAATGATATCAATATTTTTGAAGATGATTATTATAACGATGCTGACACTGGTGACAGGACAAAGATGACACTGATGAGAATAGAGACATATATTAACCCTAACCGCCCTGAATCCTTCAAAATCCTCTTTGCCAAAGTGGAGGAATTTGGAGGATTGAGGTTATATGGCTAAAGTGCGTTACTGATTTCGTAGGATGCACTTTGTCAAGGTCAAGAACCTTGTGTTGTTTTTGCTCAGCCATGCATAAATATAGGCCTGGGATTATGCTTGAAATCCTCTGTGCTGCTCCAGGATGTCACTGGCCAAGCCTAAACATATTGACTGCTGCAGGATTTTGCAGGATTTAGGCAGTGGTCACCCCTCCACGGACCATATTCAAGAAATAATGGAGGAATTTGCAGGATAGAGGCTATATGCTATTTTTCCATGAGGCCGATTGGAGGATTTTGCCAGATTGAGGCTACATCCTGGCAAAAAGGCCTAGGGAGTTAGGGTTAGAGATGATGACACCCCGTTTGGACAGCTGCAAATTCATCTTTAAAATTTCGATTCCATTTAGAAGTCATGATTTAATTCTGATTCGATGTAAAATTTCATTGAAAAAAAAGGAACAGTCAGCATCACTGAGGAAGCTAGAATCAGCTACCACAAAGAGTCAATTCCCAGAGAGCCAGAGTCAAATTTTCAAATCAAGTTTATAGGAATCTATTGAATTTCTGGATGATGCTAGGAGTGATGGCAACATCAAAGAAATACATAATAGCTGATAATCATGACGCTGATGATAATAATGATGCTGATAATCAGATGGGTTTTAATGGCAATGACATGGACAGAGATTACAATTTGAAGACGCAACATTACCTATGAGGCCGGTCATAACGCATCCAATGTGCTCTGTGATTGGGAACATGTGGGTGACAGTCTCTGCATCTAGAAGCTTGTCCTGTGAAATGAAAGATATCAAAACATCATCAAGTTCAGGTGCAACTAGGCAGTTACATGAACTGCAAGTAAAGGGTGATACATTTGGGACTGTCTTGTGCCTTATTTTGGGTAATTTTGATGGCCTAGGTAAAGTTGGTGTAATTTTGTTTTGGCCTTAATTTCTTCACTCCTGATCTGGTTGTCCTCCAACTATAGCATCAGTACCAACTACATTTGCAACAGTCCCATTTATAGTTTTACTTTAGGTGCCTAGGTGGGATTGTCTCAACTATAGTTAAGAAAATGCAAATATATAATGTAGATGAGGTGGAACAGCCGCACTGTCCCAAAATCCCACATGGTTTTACAGGAAGGCATTTTTTATTGAATCACGCTGCTGAACTGAACTACAGCATTTTGAGCTCTTAAAATTTACGTCCGTTAGGTTTGAACAAAATCAGACGGTTGGAATAGACTTTGTCTGGTTTTGAATATGCCTGCACAATTTCTCAATACCATGCCATATAAGGTTGACCTTATAATTAAAATGACTTTACAAACAAAAAAACTGTGCCTATCCATTAATCTCTCTCTCTCGTATGCAGCCCTGAATCAAATGTCAAGGTTGGCGAATCAAATGCCAAGGTCCATGTCCGACAGCCACCGTGTCGCGATCGGGTCACAGCTGGCCAGATGAACGATGCCACCGTCCAGTTTTCTGATTGGGCACTCGTTGACGATGTGCCTTGCTGTCTGATCAGCAGCTCCACAGTCACACTCAGGTGTATCCATTAATCAAAAAAATTTAGAGAATGGCCGACTAATGTCATGATTATAGCATAGGTGCCAACTCTAGTTGGGATGTGATGGCCCATTCTACAGTATGTGGAGACGATCCAAACTCTCGAGTCACTATAGTTTCACTGTGGATGAGACGTAATACTTACTGGGACTTTCTTCTGGGTTACGACTACAGCACTATCAGCTCCCTTTATAGCAACTGATGTCATCCCTCCTTGACTGATGGCTTTGAAGGCATATTCTGGACAAGACAAGAAAAACAAAAAGATAAGCCAAGACTCAGTGTTGAATTAGGCCTATATCTTTTTATTGTGTTATAATACACATACCCACTTAAGTCTCAAGCTGCAATTGTATAAAGGAACACATTTACATAACTAGCAAAGGAAAAATTATTGCAGATGTAGCTTTGGTAGTTTTGCACAAAGTTCTATATGTGGAGGAACATTTTCTACTAAGCAGTGTTATAGTCGAGTCCATCACAAGTCCCTGCAAGTCCATCACAAGTCCATTCAGTCTCAGGTCAGGTCACTAACTATTCAAGTTAACTGTTACAAACGCATTCCTTTGTCAGTGTTCATCGCGTTACATGTACTTGTGACTGGACTTATGAAAAGACTTGTGTCTGGACTTGTGAAAGAATTTGTGATTGATTTCAACACTGCTATCTGAAAACAGAAAATTGCTAATATTTAAGTGCCAATTTAAATATTTACAATGTTTACAATGACTGACCACCACTGGGTTGAAAAATATGGCATCAGGATATTGCATCTCTTTTCCAATGTAAACATTCAAATCATATTAAAAAAATTTGGTCGGGAGATTAAACAATGTAAAATGGCACTACAATGTATTCATTTGATGACAAATTTTCTTAATAGCAAATTGCGATTAAAATTTTACTAAGTGGTCTACATAAATTAAAATGCCAGAATATTTGAAATCCTGACTGCTATCTGGCTTTCGGCAAATGTTGTGTACAAAGTGTATTGAGAGTCAAGAAAATCTTTTAAGTATTTTCTACCCAAACTGGAAATGTTTCTCAGTCCCAGATTCATGTCTTTTCAACATTTTTGCAATGAGTGACCTTCATTGAGATGATATATGAAGAAAAAAGTGGCGTCAGGTTGCAACATTCTTTCCAAAAGCAGGCTAACTGCAAAGTCAAAAATGTAAACAAATAAAAAAATAAGGCAGCGGATATTGACCGTGAAGTTGTGAACCGGTCCCCAATTTTTCAGTGTTGTGGCATGGCACTAAATATGGGCAGTGACTGGGGTTTTTTTGGACTTCAGAAATGTTTACCGCAACAAATCTTCGTCTAATTCCATGCTAATATTGTCATCATGGTCATTGTGACTTCGTGTTAAGATGATGAATCAGACCTATTACAATTTGGCAGTGTATATTTTGCCGGAGACGGCAAACCTTTAGTAAACGTTAGTTTGCCGGATATGCACTGAACATGCGCAGTTACTGTTTTTTTGTACTTGAACATTTTCCGGTGACAAGTTTTAGTCTGGCTCCATGCCAAAATTATCGTTGTTACCTCGTATTCACAAGATGGGATTCAGACCATTTTATAATTTCGGACTTTATTTCCCTTTTAAAAAAATCCTCCAGAGCCACAAATCTGAAAAAGAAAATGTAATACTCTGCAATAACTGTTTGAGACGTGTTAAAATAATAAAAGAAGAATATTCTTATTTATTTGGGGATGAGAAAAAAAACCTTAAAAATTGTGATGCGGTCGGAATCGAACGCGAGTCTTCCCGCTTACTAGAGCCTTTGCTTAACCATTACACCAAACGTGCTACACAACTTTTAATGGGAATTTAATACATCTTATAATTCAGCCCTATTTTAAAGAGTACAGCGCCCTCTGTTGATATGGATTGCCGCCGGCAAACCTTTAGTAATCGTTAGTTTGCCGTCATTACCTCCGGCAAAATATCCACTACCTTACAATTTCGGACTTTATTTCCCTTTAAAAAATAAGAATGTCGGACACTTCGCCCCATTTCCACGTCGCCCCATGTCACTTCGCCCCTAACCACTTCGCCCCATCCCCACTTCGCCCCATTCCCACATCGCCCCATCCCCACTTCGCCCCATTCCCACTTCGCCCCATTCCCACTTCGCCCCGTCACCACTTCGCCCCACCCCCACTTCGCCCCACCCCCACTTCGCCCCAGCCGTTACATGTAAAAAAAATTCTCATCTAGTTTTTTGGCTTAAAAAAACAATTTCAACAGATTCACTAATTGCTAACCAACGGAAAGAATTAGCCCATCACCAAATGAACAATTCATAACCAACCTCTCAAGCTAGGCTCTCCCCTACCGAGAAAAAAGCTTGACTTTGAAAAGATCCAACTTTGTTCCCAACCCGGCTATACCAACCCGTCTCCCACTTATCTGAGAACGACAATACCTTTGACATCCTAATTTCATTCTTGGAGGAACCAATCTCATCTAAATGAAGTTGTAAGTGTCACATATCAGACAAATTTTGACGGAACATTTTCCTCAAGGCAGTGAGTTCCTTTTAACTCACTGACCCTTACGGATTCTTTTGAATCCAGCGGCTGATGATTTTATTCACAAGTCAATAGGAGAGGCGTCTCTGAATGGGATAGAGCCATCGTTTCTCTCATCTGTATCTCGAGCACCTCATCAGAGAGTTTGTATTTTTCCTAAGTTTCTAGAATTGGGAGCATTTATTATCTGGGGTCTTTTTGGTAGTTTATTTGGTCTGCACCCCTAGCCTTCACCTTTTTCATACTACGTGGGGCGAAGCAGGGATGGGGCGAAGTGGGGATGGGGCGAAGCGGGGATGGGGCGAAGCGGGAATGGGGCGAAGTGGAGATGGGGCGATGTGGGGATGGGGCGAAGTGGGGATGGGGCGAAGTAGTTAGGGGCGAAGTGACATGGGGCGACGTGGAAATGGGGCGAAGCGTCCGACACCCAAAAATAATATGCCAGACATGCCAGAGCAACAAATCAGAAAGCGAAGATGAAAATACTCTGCAAACAGTCATGACAGTGCAATTACATGTAAATGTAGGATTTGATTTAAAACAATTAGGGCCTAAAGCAGCCAATTCTTATTTTTTTGGACACAAAACAAATGTTTAAAAAACATCGGTCACGCGCGGACTCGAACTCGTACAACTACAAGTTATAATAATATTAACTCAGTTAATATTATAGTTGTACCAATATTAATAAATAGTTAAAATTAATAAATAGTTAAAATTAATAGCCTAATATTAATCAGTAAATTACTGATTAATATAAGGCCTAGGCCTATTTATTAATTTTGTCACGACACGACTAAATTTGTCCTGTCCGGAAACTGGAATTCAGACATATCTTGATGAAAATTCACAAATTACAGCCACCGTTCTCACTTACCAACTTGATACAACCTCCCTTCAGGGGAGAAGACTGTAATAAAGCGGTCAAACCCTGCACTACTACCTCTGGACATATTTGGAATGGTGATTTGTTTCAACTTTCAGCCCAAAATTGAACCAAAATGCGACAATGCCGAAAGTTGCAATATCATTTAGTGCGCCCTCTTGACTAGCACCCGTCGACACTTTCGCGTGAAGAATAGGGTTGTTGTCCAGTCTACTTACTCAAACTAGACTATAGAGGTCGCTGTTCATCATGCATACCCGGTACGCGTCGTCGGCACGAAGGCACTTCGTCCGTCGTCAGCAGCATTGAATTTAGTCATTGAAATAGCCGAATGAAATTACATTTTTGGGTTGGAAATACAAAAAAACTGCCGCTTCTAAAATGGAAGACAAACCACAGATCATCGCATATATTCAGAAGTCTCTGAATTTCACTCTGTACGACACAAGATGGGTGCCGTGCAGTGCCCGCTTCGTCGTGCTTGGCAACCATCCACGCAAGACCGGCGCCTTGCACGTCTATGAAATGTCGGCTGAAGGTGACGCGAAACTACTGCAAGAGGTGATGTGCCGTTTAGAGTTTTATCTTTGAATGGAATATTTGGAACTTGTCAGATGGGATTGTGCTATGTTAGCTAATATGGCTAATTAAAAAAAAGACTTACCAGACGACAAAATTGTAAAATATCCCGACAAATGGGGAAAAGTTTCACACCAGCGAGTCGAGGGTATTAAAACTCATCTTCAGAATTTAACAAATCTCTGTAATTTTTTTTTAAGAAAAAAAATAATTAATCATTACACTGGATGTTAAATACTTTAACCTAATACTAAAAGTTAAAAAACTTGTTCAAATTTTGTTGCTAATTCAGCCATTGAAAAAGCTATTGGATTGATAATGCTGTTGCCTGCTTGCTCTATGATTACTTTAATAAGTACATTTTTCCATGTCCATTGCAGGTTGAAAAGAAAGAAGCATTCCGCTGTGGCACCTTTGGTGCATCCAACATTAACCAGAGACACTTAGCAACCGGAGACTTTGACGGGAATTTAAGAATATGGTGATTGACCACAAATTTTAAAAAAATTAATACTGTCGTTATCTATGTGGAAATTTGAATGGCAAAATACTTGACTATTTTGCAGCTGTTGTGGCATGTAGTCCTTTACTCTATCACAGTACTTCCGGTAATCCTTACTTTTAGGACACCTCTATTTTTTACAAGTTCTGTTCAAAACTGACTTTTGCAGATGACTGTCCAGTACCAAAGTGACTTTTGCAGGCTAAAGCAGTCTTTTTTCTTCATATAAACTCATGTTAGTTGTAGTTTTGAAAGCACTTTCGAAGAAAATGTGACTTTACTACCTTTTTTCGCAGTCAGACGTGCATGTTGTAGTTCTCACACGCGTGAAAGCCCTACATAATGAAAGCCCGATGTTGATTGGCTGCTAAAAAAATTAATTAGCCTGGTTCCCAGACCAAAAGATTCTGACTACTCCTGAATCTTTTGGTCTGGGAACCAGACTAAAAATATATAAGTTAGTCTGGTTCTCAGACCAAAAGATTCTGACTATTCCTGAATCTTTTGGTCTGGGAACCAGACTAAAAATAAATTAGATGTTTATTTTTTATCAGCCAATCAGCATCGAGCTTTCATCGCATCGAGCTTTCACGTTTGCCATCTTAGTTTTTGAGTCTGTTTTCTGGTTGTCATCGTCGTCTTTTTACCCCTGAATTTCCCTCATAAATCAAAGCCCTACCCTCTTTCCACAAAATTAAACCTGCTGATATTCAAGAAGGTGTCATTGCCAATTGTTCAGATGTGCCAAGAAGTATCAGAATGTCAACTTTGAGTGTCATTTAGTCAACTGTTTTGGTGAGTCTTTCCCTTCCTATATAGGAACGGGGTCCTAAAGGTAAGGATTACCGTACTTCCCAGCAAATGATGATATTAATTTAAAGATGTGTGCCCCATGCTCTAATGTTGCTCCATGCTCTTGATATTTTCGACCAACAAATATTCAATTTGTATGTTTTGTTTTAACAAAAATAGCAAAAACACTTTTTTTCCCCTTCTCAAACAGGGCTTTCCTTGAGTGCACAAATGAACCCGTCCTGTGAGAGCTGAATTATTATGGGGCCACAAAAAATTCAAATTTTGTGAAGAAATTTCAGTAATACATTTTGTACATATTCTGGTTCAGAGTTTTCGTTCGATATTCTCAATCAAAAGTGAATAGCTTTCATTTACCTAAGAAAATAGAAATTGAAATTTGTTTTGGCTCTTTAAATTTGAAAATTGGGAGGGGGAGGGGTGTATGTTGAGAGTTTAATGTGCAAGAGTTTAAGAGTAAAGAGAGTTTAAGAGTTTAAGCCCTTTGCATTCTGTCACGTCGCACAATCGTTAAATGCATAGCTAGAGGTCTCTTGTTATTTTGGGCGTCAATTGTAAAGGTTGATATTTTTAAGTCACTCATCCAGTATTTTTAAATTTATGTGACATTGGTCAGTTTTTTTTTAATAATTAGGCCTTCAATTCACAGAAATATATTGGCTTATTTTGAATTCATGAATTAAACCCCCCCCTCCAACAAATTCACTTACAGTGTAACAAACCAGAGACTGCAAATCTCCAAATTGATGGAAAATGTATTATCCAAATATAAAAACATGTTTTTAGTAGAATTCTTTTTTGGGTTTTTTTGGTAGGGATTTGGAGAAGATTGATATTCCAGTGTACTCAGCCAGTGGTCACTCAGAGATCATCAACTGCATCGATGGAGTAGGAGGCCTTGGTATAGGCGAAGGAGCGCCAGAGATTGTCACAGGGAGTAGAGATGGTATGATGGCATCCTTCTGTCTTGCTCTCACCCTTAATGTTGCTCTCACTGTGCTATTTTTCAAGTTTCACCTTACAAAACAGGGTTAAGTTTAGTGCTGTTTTTCTAGTAATACAAAAGTTATCCACTTTCGAGATGCGAAAAATAGTGGGTTTTTTGTTCATTAGAATGAAAAATTCAAATTGACAATCTGTTAGGAAAAAATTGAAATCTACTTATATGAAAAAACAAAAACAAAGTTAAAACACTATTAATGCAGTAGCCATATCTTGAGAACTTGCAGGGTGAGACCAGGCAATGATTGCCATGGCTCATTTTATTGTGTAAAATTTCCTAGTCTATTCGTCCTGACGTTGCCTTGAAAAGTGGTCGATTTCTAAACAGAATCTTTTGCATATATATCCATGATGGATTGCTCCTTGATAATTCTAACAGACATTGAGTTTCTTTATCTTGGACTCTTTCAACAACAGGTGCTGTGAAAGTCTGGGACCCAAGGCAAAAAGACGACCCAGTGGCCAACATGCAGCCAGCCGAGGGGGAGACCAAGAGAGACTGCTGGACAGTGGCATTTGGTCAGTCCGCCAGATAGGCTTCACTGGCATAGCCCACACAATCACAGTATACTCTCTGCAAAACAAAATTCCAAAACCTTGCTAGGGTTGGGAGGCAGTTGGTGGAGTGGTAAAAGCCTCTGAGCACTTGCAGGCGGGAGATTGTGGGTTTGAGTCCCACCTGAGCAACCTTGTACATTTTTCTGCAAACCTAGTGATGGGCAAAACTCAATATTGCAAACATTTTGGATATTGTTTCTGATCTCATCCAGGTGTTTTCAATTTCAAATTTCTCTGAAACAAAACAGGACAACCCTCAGTAAAATCCAATAATAAATTGTGAATCACTTCTGCTAAATCATTTAGTGGAGCATAATCTTATAATCGTGATTATTTACCACCGACTTGTAAACTTGGTTTTGATGTTGAAATTTTCGTAGAAAGAAAAAAATCAGCTTGCTTGTAAAATCGGTTTCTTTACAGAGCTGCCGTTTCTTGGCATGCTTAAGAGACAGGGCTGGGCTTCAGAAAGAAGAGTTAACATTTGAAAGCAGGGTTGAGATTTTGTGGAAGGTCAAGTTTGTCCTGAATAAATAAAATGTTTCTGTCTTTACCAGGTCATGCTTACAACCAGTCGGACAGGTGTATCGCAGCGGGTTATGACAATGGAGACATCAAACTCTTTGACTTGCGCAATATGAGTCTTCGGTGGGAGACAAATATCAAGAATGGGGTAAGTAGGAGGCATGCAGGCACGCCCTGCTAGGGGTGGGGGCATTCCTCCTGGGCAATTTCGAAACCTATGATGCTTTCCCCTGCATTCTAAGGCAATTCAAGAATTAATTTAGGAACTTTAGCATTCCATTTATTGTTTTTGGCCCCATTTTGCTAGTATCGTAACATTAGTCAACAGCTGAATGGTCGGGGGGGGGGGGGGGGGGGGGGGATTGCAACCCCACCCCCCTAGATCCACTACTACCCTATTTTCAGGGCAAATTGCAGGGTGTACCACATGAGGCAAAGTCAGGAGTTTGAAGGAGGGGTTAATTCTGATTTTGTGTGTGTAGGCCTAATAGGGATCTTCAACCAGGACATTTTGAGAATGGAGTTGGTGGTATTCCATTGGTCCTGGTGATTATTTTAATTTCCAATGGCATATTTCAGTATAAGAAACTTATTATTGAATATCCTAATTGTGGTTGTATATTTGGTTTTGCAACATCATCGGTGTATTAAAAAAAGCAACGAGATGTGGGGTCAGATGTTCATAAATTAAATTGTTTGGCATGGTTTTTGTTTCAGGTGTGCTCTGTTGAGTTTGACAGGAAGGACATCAGCATGAACAAACTTGCTGCTACGACATTGGAGTCAACGTTTCACGTCTTTGACATGCGTACGCAACATCCAACAAAGGGCTTTGCTTCACTCAACGAAACTGTAAGTATGCCCAGTAACATAAGCACTTCTCCTGATTTTTAAAAAAAATTATTTTGTATGTTAAAAATGTCATATTTTTAACAGCCTATTGTGACTTCAAAGGTTGTATTGTCACTGGGTTGCTTCAAATATGTTCAAATGTATAGTTATGAGTTATGTAATGATTACATGTTTTTAAAAAATGACAGTTAATTTTATTAATCCTAGCCACCCCGAACTTGTCAAAATCCAACTGCATGTTATAATTGATTCTGTTGGAGTGAGCACTGCACAAGTAAACTGATTATGCTTTACATGGGGTCAAGCATACCACCGTAATCAGAGTCCCACAGTTTGGGTGTTGAGTTATCATATGGTGTTGGATTTTGCAAGAGTGAGGAAGGTTCCCAGTAAATCACTCAAGGGGGTTAGGGTTAAAACGGCATAAAAAAAAGACAAATAGCATAAACAAGTTTCAGTTTTAGCCCCAATACTTATCTTGGCTTGTCAAGGAAAAAAGACAGCTTTCATGTTGAGCGTTGAGCTTCTTTTTTATGGCCGAGTTACAAAGAAAATATATCCCCCTGACATTGCCTGATAACAGATAATTATTTGTCAATTCGTCATTGGCACCACGAACTGACACTCACACGCAAGTGGGTGTCAGTTCGTGAAAACCAACAATTTCGGTTTCCCGAACTGACACCAGGTAGTGCGTGTGTATACATCAGGCACTGAGGCAAAACAGGAAGATTTTCGTTTTCATGAACTCGGACATCCAGGCATGATGCAGCAACACAGAATGGAGAAAAACGGTTTGAAAGGTTTTACAAATTTAATCCATCTGTATGCTTGTGTGCTTACACAAAAAAAATTACTTAAAAAACGTTTAATTGGTGAAATTAAGGTCATGTACGGGGTGCGCTCTAAAAGTGCCGCACTTTGGACGATGTCAGTTCGTGAAACCCAAAATATCCCAGTTCTGTAAAATACGCGCACGTGCAGCGCACTCACGCTCAGATGAGTGTCAGTTCGTGGTGCCGATGACGAATTAGTGGTGACTGTTCATCATATTTGTCCAATCTTTTTTTCAGGCTCACAAATCCACTATTTGGCTGGCCAGACATCTTCCACAAAACCGTGATGTGTTCATGACACTTGGAGGCTCAGGCACATTAAATCTCTGGAAATAGTAAGTGGATATTCCAGTTTCTGTTAAATTTAAGGTCATCATCTTCTTTTCAATAGTGAAACAACCTTACGGTGAGTCACATCCTCACACAAGATTATGCTTTCCATATCGACTTGTTTTATTTGTCAATTATTTTCTGACCTAAAAACAGTGTACCGATTTCCAGACAATTACTAAAATACTTCTCAACGTTGTGGTCAAGACCTTTTCTGGGACCATAGTAGAACATAAGATCTGATTTAAGTCTCACTTTAATGAGATATATCTCAAAACAGTTGGGGTTATGTGAGTTTTAAATAGGGTTAAACAAAACAGTTGGAGGCATGGTTTTGGTAAGATTTTGACTTTGAAAACACACAGTTGTACCTGCATCTGCCTGAAAATGATTTTTTGACTCGGTTTGTTTTTTATCAAATTATGAAATTTGTTTGGGCAAGTTATTTGACTTATTTTGTCTTTGAACATTTAATTTATGAAAAAGATGAGGCAAGCCTGGTAAAGCTGGTCCATAGAGCTATATTAAATTACTAGAGCGCTAACTTTGTGTACAAAGTAATGCCTGATGGGCGCATCCATGTTTGTGCACAAACCTATGGAGACCTAGAAATTTTGTACAGCTGTTGTACGGCTATTTGCATATCTGCGTTTGCATTCCACACCAGTGCGTTATCGAAGCCAATACGCCCAAAACCGAAACGCACGATCAGCAAATGAGCGTGTCATTTTGCTCTACGCAAACAGCGCAACGCGTGCGCGTATTCGCTGCAGATGCTTTTTGCCGTCACGTTTTTTGAACCGTCATGACGCGCTTAAGTTGTTTGCGTATGTTCTACTTTCGCGTTACATGTAGAGTACACTTTCAAAATTCAATCCATCTAATTTCATTATGTTCTACGAACACGCACATGAATTCAAAAATGTCTGCGCCCAGGACAGCTTCAAAGCGTCTCCGCGCGCAGAATGAGGAGTTAGCGCTCTAGTAATTTAATATAGCTCTATGAGCTGGTCCCAGAACGCACAAAATTCCAGTCAATATTATTCAGAATGGCTACTCACTGGAAGTCTTCATATAGCTGATCTACACCGTGGGCTGGATTTAGCCCATTCATTGATGTTATGAGGTAACACTTTTCAATAGCACTGCCCGGCTCAGTAAAATTTAGGCATTTTAGGCTGGCCCTCTGGGACCGGCAAATGCAAGAAATCTCAATAGGTCTTAGAAAAGTCTGGCCTCAAAGACTTTTAGTTTTATTGAAATAGCTCCCATTAGTTGCCTCTGTATGAGACAGTTATACTAGCTGCACCTGCTGACTACACAGTGCAACTAAGTCCCACAACTTGTTTACAGGTTGCTTTTGTACGTTTTTGTCGTCTGAAAAATCCTACTTTGTTTCCTCCGATTCAGTTCCTATCCAGAGAAGAGGGTCAAAGATGACGGTAACGGAGTAGAAATGGGCGTGATTGGATCCGTGAATCTCTTACAGAATGCTGCCCTGTCAACGCAACCCATCGGGGGCTTTGACTGGAGTCCTGACAGGGAGGGGATGTGTGTCTGTACGTCCTTCGATCAGATGCTCAGGGTGCTGCTGGTCACAAAACTCAACAGGGTTTAGGTCGGAAGATGGTGCAAGTGATGTCAAACATGTCCTAGTGTGGGGGGGGGGGGGCAGCTAGGCCTGATTGGAGATGCTGAACGACTGCAGTTAAAGGCACTTCATGTTTGAGTGTGATAAGGAAAGTCTTTAGACTTGAAATAGGCTGTGCATCGGAACCGAGTACCCGACCGTTAACGTCAGGAACTGGTTTCAGATTTTGGAATCGGGTACCCCTAACCAACTTTACAAATTACGAAGTAACTTCTCAGACAATAAAAGAGAAAGGTTGTGAATGTCATTTGTGGAGGATTTAAAAAACAAAAACCATGCTACATGGAAAAACAAACAAACATGTTTATTTCATGTTTATGACGCTCAGGAAAGTTGCAGCTTACACTGTAAAAGCACTACTATTTTTGCTGTATCGACGCAGAGATATCATGCGGACTTTTATGAACAATCTGAACAGCAACTTCCGAAATTGAAATTTTGGGGTTAGGTTTCTTTAAGGGGTACCCGGGTATTTTTCAATCGGGTACCCGGTTCCCATACTACCCGTAAATGCACACCCCTAGAATTGAACATCGCAGCGATTCATGAAACAGGGTACATGAATAAGCTATTCTTTACGACTGGGTTTGTGGAACAAAGGGTTAGCTGAGATAACGATAACCCTGGGGGTGGAACCCAAATAGTTTTCATGTACAAACTTTAGGAAATATACTCCAACAATAAGAACAACAGAAGGAACAGTACAGGTCCTTGTACAGTAAAACAGACTGTGTGTGCCACCAAGAGATTCTGTTGATGAGGCCACTTGGAAGCATTGACCTTTAAAGTTAATTTTCCTCCATGTGCATATTATACTGCAGTATTATCTGGTTTTCACTTCTGAGGAACATTACCAACAAATGTCAACAGAAATGGTAATACATGCAAACATGTGAACTGGATACCATGTGGATCACCTGCAAATGAATGCTGACTTTGTCCCATTTGTTCTTTTCACACTTCAAAATTTGGGGTGAACAGTGTTTGAGAGTCTGTCATAAAGCTTTTTCTTGAAAATTATACAGGGCAAGTAAAAAAAATCCGAAAACGAAAAAGGTGTGTGTTCTTCCAGCAAAACGAAAACAAATCACATTGTTTTCGTTTTTATTGAAAAAACACTGAACTTTTTTGTGATCTGTGGATAGAACCTTAAAACGGTGGTTGTGTTTAAAATTCCGTAACTTTAAAAGTACATGTCTGATTTGAATGATTCTTGTACTACAACAAAGTTTATGAATTGGGCTTTCATATCCTATATTTTGAAAGTGCTACATGCAGAACTTCACTAAACCAATAGTCCCGACATTTTTTTTTTTTTTTTTACTCGCCCTGTATTCATCTCTTGACCGATGTTTACAAAAGCTGGATTAAAGCATGGAATGGGCGACTTGAAACCATCCGGTGTTAGTAAAGACCAATCCAGAGACGATGTCAATTCTATCACGAAGGCCCCCTTCAATGGCGAAAGCATTGCGCTAGCTATTGATAAGATAATCCGTCACGGGGCAGTTGCTTTGTACAATAGAACTCACAATGTTTGCATTGAAGAGGGCCTCTTGTGTGTACAGCGATCACTTGCACGGATTCGTCTCTATACGTTTATAGAAATAGCATTTGAAATCACTGCTACTCTGTCAAGTGGAAAAGGTGAGTGTATGTGAAGGGTGTGTTCATGAATTTATCATTTTGTGAGCGAGATGGCAAAGATGCCTTCCCTGAGAAATTGGTGAGGCGAGGCCCCTTCCGATATTATTTAGTTTTGGCCTGATCTATCTTTCTGTTTGCCCAAAAATGTGTATATGTATATTTAGTAGTTACTTGAACAAATCGAGTGTGAAACATCCAATAGTCACGTACTGATGAGGAATAATAAAGAAATATCCAGTTTATTTGAGAGACTATTTGCATTGATTTTTTCAGAAATGATACTGGTATGTGTGCCGTTAGCCCCATAAATGTGGCCTATTTACTGGACTGCCTCCGTAAACATAGGCCACACATCCACATGTACAAAAACGTGTCGCACTTTGCCAAATTTTGATTTTCGCATTAAGGCTTAGTTTGTAGGGTTTTTTGCTTTAGAAGCATACACGCCCTCTTTATAGGCTAATCAGAAAGTGCTGCCTTTTTTAGATGTATATTTTTCGTGAAATTTCCAGATTCATTTTTACACATTTGCGTATCAAAATTTCAACATGAAATTTCACAAAAATTAGACATCTGAAAAAGGCAGCACTTTCTGACTAGCCTATAAAGAGGGTGAGTATGCTTCTGAAGCAAAACAATCCTACAAACTAAGCCTAAATGTGAAAATCAAAATTTGGCAAAGTGCGACACGTTTTTGTACATGTGGATGTGTGGCCTATGTTTACGGAGGCAGTCCAGTAAATAGGCCACATTTATGGGGCTAGTGTGCCGTTAGCTTCCATGCATTTCTTGTAAGATTCTGCACTTTTCAGGCAAGCAACTAAGTCGCGATGAACGAGGAGATTCCAAGTCTACAAGACTCTCTGAAGTGTGTTTCTATGTTTAAAGGGAAAATACAACATTTGCAAACATAAAAAAATACAACTACCAAATCATTTTGAAATACCTTGCTGGACTGTTAGTGAATGACAGTGTAAAGCATCCTGTAAAATCATGGCACCTGGTATACTGTCATTTTCAAGAAAAGTGGTATTTTTGTATCAATTTCCAACGCTGATCGGCCGATCAGCGTTGGAAAAAACTGGCTTTTTTTCAAATACTGGCCCCAATTGACCATCGCACTTGTTTGCAATCGATTACAAACCTATAAACGGGTACGAGCCAGCTAGACTGGTTCCCTGACCTTACAATTCCCCAATGTATGTAAACTGCTCTGTTTCTTCTTATATGGAGTCAGGGAACCAGACTACAGGAAAATGATCGTTTTTCTTGGTTTTTATAGCATTTTCGAACCCAAAACCTCAAAAAAGTCAGTGTAACTATATTTGCTATATATTTCCAACCCCCCAATTCCATCCATTTCTGAAAATTACAGCAAAAGCAAATGATGTATATTCCCTTTAATGGCATACAAGAGAAGTTAAAAGAAGGGGGAACTAGCTGATCTGCAGGAAGTTGCATGCCCGTTTCACAGAACCTAAAAACAGGGTTTGTAGGAAAACTATTACTGTAATATGTTTGGTTGCTTAATATTTTTTGTACGTGTAATGTTCTTAAACATGTAAACTGTGTATATTTAAATATTTTTACTTTGCCGTCCGTTGAGCAATAATAAAACCAGAATGAAAACAACGGGTTTGGATGAATTTGTTCTGTACACTTTATTTATATTACCCAGATATCAAGTCAACAAACAGAAAGCGTATAGTGCAGGCCGGGCTGTATTGAAATCAGAGAGGTTCAAAATGAATAAAGACCAGTGCAAATAACACATCGAACTCCATGTATGCAAGAAGTGAACAAAAACATAACTGACTTCTGCTTGCCCAGTTGACAGCCGATATTTAAGATAAAAACATCTGGCTGAATAAAAAGGAAGTCATTAACACAAAAAAAAATGACATTTTTCAAACATTATATTTTTTTGTAACTTAGCAAGCCATAGTGATATATCAGATGGTTTAGGAGGGAAAATTACCGAAATTTCAAAAAGTACACGGCAATTGTTTTGTTTAATAGCCAGGGAAAATGTTCAACAATGCTTTCTGCATACCAGTTTGACGGAGATACGAAACATTAAAACTTTGGTTGTTAATCATCTTTTACATCGTCCCTTTTTATCATCTGTCTGGCAGCTAGGCATGTAAGTGCACAGTCTCCCATAACCACACTTTTGAGAAATCGGAATGAAAATATTCTGTTATTTATTTCATATATCAATTGGGCTTGAACTTGTGAAATTAATATAAAGGAATTAAAGGAAAGCACAATTAAGTCATTTTGGACAAGATTCCTTAAAACCAATTTTGGCCTGACGTACGGCACAAGATTAACTGAGAACTGTATCAGTCCTGGAAACAAGGTATACGTCAACCTGTTCAACACAGTTATGTACCAACACAATACAATATACAGACTCATTCCATGAACACAAAACACTTGCATGCATAGAAATGTCATTATGATCCATCCCAACTCAAGCATCACCCCAACTACAGTTGGGACGATCCCAACTTATTGTTGGGTTCATCTGAACTCTAGTTGGGACTATTGCAACTACACATGGGACAGTCCCAACTATAGCTGAGGCAGTTGTTTTAGTTGGCATGCAACAATTGTTGACGTGGTGCTGGCAACTCACTGTTCCACATTCGAACCCAGGTAACCCAAAGATATTTTATGACCCAAAGTACTGAATGAAGAGGCAACGTGGCAACTGAATCATAGGCAACTTATTTATTGAAGTTTAGCCCTTTTAGGAACCTGTGTCCAGATGTGGCTCTTGAGCTGAACAAAAAACACTGAATAAAAAAAAATGATACAACCATTTAAAACATTCAATTTATTACCCACTTTTCGAACGGACAATCTATAAACCATTTTCTTGCCCTAAAAAGTATTTGTATAAAGTATCTCAGATGTCATTTACTCAAATTACACTAAAACTATAATACAATGTACAAAATATACTTCCTTTCAATGTTTCCTTTTTATGATCAAAAAAATGAAGTGTGATGATGACCCATCTACCGCAGTAAACACAAACATTCATCACCATCAGACGGGTTTTGCAATAATGTCCGCTGGTTTTTTTTGCAACAGCTGAATCTGCCTGACTCTGGTTCACGTCTTACAGCTGAGGATGGTGTTTACTTTGCTAACGTGTTCCTGGAGAGAAAAAGAGAGAAAGACAAATGCAGAATGTAAATAGCATTCCTCAAATGTGAACACTATAATGATTAACGAAAGTTACTTCTTGATTCAGAAAGTGAAATTTGTGAATGTTGAATTTTTATGTGGCTTTAAATGGTCACATGTCAGTGGCGAATCTAGGATTTTCCAAGGGGGAATGGCTGAGGCGTTGAATCCACGATTTTTTTTTGGGGGGGGGGAGGGTGTGATGAAGCAGTCCGGCAACACATAAAAAACAATCAATATTGGCAATATTGTATGGCGATATTCAGGGAACGTATGGAAATTTGGGATTTTTTTATTCATAATGTAAATAATCAACATTGGTTGGTGGGGTGGGGGACTTTAAAAAACAACAAATCATTTATGTCACTCCAATACTATCTGGCACATCATATGTAACACAAAAAGGCAGCCCCCCCCCCTCCTTCGGATGAGATGTTAAGCCAGAGGTCCCGTGTGTTGTATGAGGCCTAACGTACGTAAAAGAACCCAGTAACACTTATTGCTAAGAGAAGGGGTTTGCCCCGGTGTTTCTTGCCTCCTCGTTAGACTCCCTTGTGGAAGTCCTTAGGAGAAGAACCAACCAAGTACCAAGTACCATGTATGCCCAGAAAGAAAGCTCACACTTATCAAAGATCACCAAAGATCACACTGCGATGATTTAATGTATTTTCTTTCGAAAGAGTACGTCACAGCTCTCATCTTTCTTGCTCACCAACAGAACAACTGTTGACTTCTTTGATGTGAGACATGTGATTTTCGGTGGAAGAAATCCAACATCACAGAAGTCAATACCAGCACAAGTGCATCAGGTGTAAAAGTCTGTGGGACCTTGCTGCTTTAAGACATCAACAACAGTGCATATAAACCGCCAATTCTGAAACAGTCACAGAGCTAGTTCCATTGCACAATGTCACAGTTGTATCCTGCTGCAGTTGGTGACCACAGGCTCTGAGGCAGTTTGACCTTGATATTTTCGACCTGTTAAAAGTATTTCGACCTTGACAAAAATTGCATGTTGCTGTGTTCAGCAGGGTTTTTAGCCAAAATACCCTCAAGGGTTAGGGTTAATATTGTAATCTGATCTTTGTAAACACATCTTTGTCTTCAGAAGCCGTTGAATATTTTGTGTGTGTTTGCCCTTATTACTCTCTTTGCTTTGATGACTGAATATTTTGGAGTCATTTTCAAACATGAAGTTTTGAGCTTTGTTCTGCCCAACATGTGGGATTTTAGGACTGGGCCCAACTGCCTAAGCTTGGACTTACGCTGTAAGGCTCTTGGATCCACCGCTGAGTAAGATGAATGGAGACTGGGTCTGTTTCTGCTTCTGTTTCATCATGGCCACCGTGTTCAGGGGAGTGTCTGTAGAAGACATCTTCTTCATTGCCTGGTGGGAAAACAGCAGGGACAGAAACGGTGAAATATGAAACACACCAATAAAGTAACTCCCTGCCTAGCTTGAATTGCCTTTGAGGGTGTTTTCCTTGGAGATGCTAAAAAGCACGGAAATTTCTAAGCACCAAAAATGCCATGCTCATAAAGTTGGGCCAACGAACGATTTTCCCCATTTTTTGTTGACAGTCGATTAATTTCTCACTGGGTTCCACTATTTTTGGGAAATTTGACCGGACTACAAAGTGAAGAAATGCAAACTAGTGGTTGGTATTCTTGTACATGTGTAGAAATTTGAGGCAGAGATGTTCAAATCTAGTAAATTAAGATACCTTGAGTCCCTCCGCAACATATTAAATTCAGATGTTTTCTTTTACTGTCGCTGAACTTTTTCGCAGAGTTGTAACGACTCACTGATTTTTGTGACTTGAGTTGAGTCGAGTCATTTTAAAGAAGAGACTCGAGTCAAGTCATTAGGGCAAGGAAGGTCGAGTCGAGTCAAGTCGAGTCACAGTGTGTAGTTGAGTCAAGTCGAGTCGAGTCAAGTATTTAGCTCGAGTCAATTCGAGTCGCAAATATTTGAACACTATACAATAAATAAACACAAGAGAGAAAGTCATTTTTTGGCTTTTTTAAATTTCACATTCCGGCTACAACATGTGGTGACACCACAATTGACTCTTCATGAAAATAAAAACGGGGTGCCAGGTGATCGCCATTCAACTAATGTATGTATATGTATACATTATTTGCGAACATTCTAACATGACGAGAACAAAAACTGGCACCGGCGTAAGTCATTGCAAATATTTTTCGCAAAGTTTTGCTTTTATTTTTGGGACTCGGGTCTTCTAAGCCTTCCTCGAGTCGAGTCGAGTCATTTGCAAACAGTGACTCGAGTTGAGTCGAGTCATTTGCCCTTAGGGACTCGAGTCGAGTCGAGTCACCAAAAATTGTGACTCGAGTCGGACTCGAGTCGAAGCATTACAACTCTGAATTGGAGAGCCAATAAATATGCTGAAAATGTTGCCTGCTGCAGACAACAAATCGATATGTTTATTATTTTAAATCTGCCCTAAAGGCAAGTAATTGACTTCTTAAATGCCAGGGACTTCTGAAGACTCTGGCTATACCCATCCCATTAAAGATTCGCCCTAACCCTTCAAAATCCTTCAGAATCCACTAGCAGGTTTTGGTGGATTTACAGGATGAGTAAAGTTGAAGCACTGCTACTACAATAGGATTCAGGCAGATTCCTTACAAAAATATATATATTAGAAGTTAAAGGTTAAGCCTTTTTTTAATCGAAAACTGTAACAGATTTGTCCAAACCCACCTCGATCTCCATCTGTTTCTTGGCACGTTTGTCCGTCTTCATCTTCCCTGACCCCTTGCCATGGAAACGGTGAGACAATTGGCGGAATGCCTGGGACAGGAAGGGAGATCAATTCAAACGAAAGAAAAAAATGTTTTAAAGTGAAAGAAATCCTCCGATATGGAAGGGTCATGTTTATATGTCCCTCTCTTCTTTTTTTTAAACCTGGAATCAATTGTGTCAATCAAATGTGTCACCGCCCTATAGACCTCTATCATGCTGCCACCATTTCAGTCGTGTTCCCTGTATCTAATTATAATAACAGTACTAAATTACAATGTTTTTGTGCAAAGAGGAACCAGACTATTTTTCCTTCCAGCCTCGCTTTGGTTACGTTGATTTCAATGGGGAAAAATTAAGATGGCCGCAACATGATAATGGTCTATTAAGTCACGTCTCCAGTCTACCTACTATAAGCAACCCGCCTGGATGGAAATTATTGATCAAGGGCCATGACTTGCACATAGTGGTAGGTACAATTTTGATTTGTTTTGCCTTACCTCTTTCTGGTTGATATCCCGTCCATTGTCATCCACATATTTCAGCTGGACATCAGGTTTGTAACCTTCCTTTTCCTTGAAATCAGCCAGGGGCCCCCGGTACCGGTCGTGCTTATTGTATTTAGCATCAATATCACTAAGGAGGGAAGAAATATTGGCAAAAATCAGACAATTTGAACAAACAATTCAGGGTTTTAAGCAGATATTGCAAGTTCCTACTCAGATGCATTTGGTCATGGATAACCAATCATAACTATTAACTGAAAGCCAAAAACCACAATATTAAATTCACAAAGTTTTGTAAATACACATTCCAGTTCAACCCTTGTACACCTTGCCAAGGTTGACCAGGGTTCGACTTTAACTTTTTTCACTAGCTAGCCGGGCTACTGAAACAGACTCTAATTAGCCGCGGGCATTTTCACTATCCTGCATGTTGTTTTCCCACGGCGTGGTGTGAAACACGCTGTGGGCTTGAGCTGCTTATGTTGGTTGGTTGGTGGGTTGGTTGGTGGGTTGGTTGATGGACACTTTACTCCGCCATATATTGTATTCATACAACACAAGTATAACAGCTTTGCATTCGAAGACCGGTTTTTGCAAACACTGTTGCGCATGCATCCAATTTGCACACTTTTGCATATTAGATCGCGCCCCATTCCTTTTAGTTTTCGGTACTCTCGAGGTACTGGTACGGTTTATAACTTGTTCATAGCATATTTTACTTTTATTACATTTTTGTGTGACATGTTTATTGAATTTGTTATCTTGCTGTGTACCAGAAATCTTTTATTTATTGACGTATTTCTCTAAAGGAGTACGAAATAAATGTCTTCTTGAGTTGAATTGAAAAATTGAAAGATAGCCGTGAATTCTCTTTTCCCAAACTACATCCATGTATACATGTTTTTTTAGCACTCTCTACGGTACTTTTATGATACGTACGCAGGTATATATTACCATGAATTTCCAAAATTTGTTGAGCATTGCGATATCTCAGTCGGTAGGGTTGTGAATTTGTACTGCGAGGGATCCTCGCGGTGTTGTGGGTTCGAGTCGCCATTTTGTACCCGAATTTTTTCTTTTCTAATCTTGAGGCTTTGGTGGATTTTTTTTAAGGGAAATAAAATCCGAATTTCAGTACGTTCGAATTCATTTCTTTTTTTCTAATTTCACATTTTTTTCTCATGTTTTTAAGGGAAGTGAAGTCCAAAACGCCATAGCGTACATCCCATGCGGATGTCGCTTGGGACAAAAAAAAATTGCGGTACGGCCCGGGTGCACAGACGGTGCCGTATAGCCGTCTTCACACGTTACCCGCCTGCCGTTGGTTGTACCACTTGGTACTTGGGTTTTTTTTATAGCGGGTTTAAAAAGAAACAATGTGCATAAATGTTAAACATGTATCCTGAGGCAATCTTGTCAGGGTTTTAACATGTTTAATAAAGAAATCTAATTTTTGACTCACCAGCCAAGCTACTTAAAGGAATAGTTTGACTAGCCCGCCACTGTTTTAGCATTTGGCTAGTGGGTTACGGCTAAAGTCAAACCCTGCCCAAGGAATTTGAATCTATGCCTCCGTGAAAGAACATGAGATGGCACTTTTTGAGATCTCGAGTGGAGGGACATCTCATGAGCGCTTGCTGGTTCTGGCATGTTATGCTCGTAGTACGCACGATTAATTCCATTCTGAATCTGCACAAGCTCATGGTGTCATCACGTGAGTGTCAGGCAGCTTTAAGACTGAATTCTAATGTCCCTCCCAGAGGTCACCCACAACTGGCCTTTTTCAACCGTCGAGGGCCACTTGTGCACGGAGCCCACATCAGCCTACACCAAAGATGACACAAACGTCAACTACATGATGCGAGCTCAAATCCCATGTCTGTGAACAGTAAATTGTTTTCTCACAGACAGACAAGTAAAGATGTAAATGTCAAACCATCAGAATAAAAAAACCCCAAAAATCAACACCTTTAAAAAAGAATAAATCAACCTACTTGTAGTTCTTGTCCTCAACAGTGAAATTCTTTGCCTCCAGATCCTCCACGTTCTTAGACTTGGGCACAGCTTTGATGAATTCCTGCTCTATGTAACCCTTCTTCACGGCCAGGTTCAGGGCGCCGGCGATACCCATTTGTACCGTCGGCTCCTCCTCCAAGACGGGCCCCGCCACGTCCTGCTGAGAGGGAGAGAAATTCAGAAAAGTGACGACAGTGATGCATGTAGGAGGGAGTGGTAGGGCTGGCTGGGCATGGCTTTTGAAAAGCCTGGCAAGGCCTGGGCCTGTGGGCCTCAAATCTTTCCTAATGCCAGCTCTGAAGTACCTTACTGCAGAGCCGCTAACCGATTAACCCTAAGGATCCCCAACCAGCCAAACTCCAACATCATGGTTTGTCGGAATCTGTTCTGTCGGTAAATACTGCACTAGTAAACTGACTGCTTAAGGTGGGATTAGGCATACCACCAATAATACTAGTCCAACTATTCGTGTGCACAGTTTACCATATGGTGTTGGGATTTGCAAGGATGAGTAAGGTTCGTAGTAAATCACCCTAGGGAGCTAGGGTTAATAAAGCTAGCATTCCTTATAACTACAAATTGGCTCAATGGATTTTATGTATCCTATGTCTTCAAGCACTGCTACTAATGTGGTATTGCCACAGGACAGTGTGAACAAGACAAAGGCACACTTAAAACTTCAACTCTAAACTCTTTATTCCAAAACTCTGTCAATTGACTGATTGTGGGGAATCACCTATACTTCTTGATTTCTTCTAAATGACAGCAAGCCAGACGGATTAATTTCACGGGGCGTCTAGTACCAGCACAATCTTTAATCCAAGTAAGCATTTTGATAATAATTTGATAGGTCACTTTTGGGGCAAATGCCATGATCCTATAATATGCCTTTAAAACTTGCGTGACGTCTTAACCAAGTATGATGAAGAGATCGAGGGAGGTAAGATTCTTCACTCACCCCTGTGTAAGTGTCCTCTTCCTGCTCCAGATTGACAGTGCTCCATCCTTCTTGCCCTGCTTCATCTCCAAGATCCTCCATCTCCTGCCTCTCCCGCTCATAGTCAAGAATTTCATCCTCGTCTTCCTCCCGATTTCCTGCCAAACCTACATAAGGCCAAAAAAAAAAATAGTCGGTCTCTGGTCAGACTGATGTTCCGGAATTGATGCGGCGACGCGTTTTTTTTTTTTTTTTTTTTGGTGGCTTTTTTTTTTCAAGCTTGTATTGTACAGACAAGGTGGGTACTATTTTGCTTTTTTTTGTCCTCATTATACATTGGTGTCCTCCATAATTTGCCTTGGTGCCCTTTATCATTTGCCTTGGTGCAATTTCCCCATTCCTTGGTGCTCCTTGGTACAAAAATTTGAGGAGGCGCGGCTGTTGTAGCTTCCGTGTTAATTTGAAGAAAAAAAAAAGGTTGACGCGCATGATTAAAATCGACGCGCACGCTGACCAGAGACCAAGTATTTTTTTTGTTGGCCTAAGAAATAGCATTGACAATATGTGACCCTCCAGCACAAAACCAGTCGGAAATTGCATGGCCGTATTTTGAGACACAGCCTATACTACACTGGAACCGGGTACCTGAGTACCGGACCACTGATGCCAGGAACTGGTTCCAGATTATGGGATCGGGTACCCGTAACCAACTTTACAAATCACTTCGAAACTTCACAGACAATGAAAAAGAAACTTTTTAATGCCATTTGTGGGAATTTTCAAAATGCAAACCGGGCTTCATGGAAAACCAAATCATATTTCGATTTTTGTGCATTTTTACATGCAACAGATAATGCTCACAAAAGTTGTAGTTTATTCTCTTTCTTAATACCTACAAACCCTCATTTCGACCTCTGCCCGGCTCTGTCTCATTTTGCCAGAACACCTCACAAATACGAAGCAATTTGGAAAAGGGTCAACTGCAAATTAGCTCTGGGTTTTTATTGCAATGCATTTTCACCATGTAGTTGACTTGTTGCCAAAACATGTTTGGCTTAAGATAACCACAGCCACAAGCAAAAAAAACCCAGAACAATTAAAAACTGATCCAGTGCCTAAAGCAACAAGTGATGAGCTCACCATATGTAGGGATCTCCCCCAGAGTGCGGCAGAACTCGGACGTAGAATTCAGCGTGATGTTGATTCCCTTGCTCGCTCCTGACGACGAGCCGATGAGAGGCAAAGCTATTGAGGGCGCTGTTGATTCCGCATCCATGGGCTCCTGTTGGATCTTGGCCACCTCCTCGGCGATCTGGAACAGCATTGCATCGTTTGTATTCAGATATGAAAACAGTTATAATTTGTAACGATTGTGATCCGCCCTACCCAAAAAATTCTTATACTATTCATGTACACCCATACTGAAATTTGTATCCTTGTGGAGACATTTCTTTGTTCTCGTGTACTAAAGTTTTCGAGTTTGAAAGTGTAGTTTCAAAATGCTCTTATTTGAACCAGAATTAATTTCCTTGGCTGAAATTCGGACTTAATATCCCTTTTCTAAAACTTTTTGGACCCACCTTGGAAATTCCTAGTTTTTGAGTAAAATCCATATACAGTCGAATCTCGTTAGTACAAACTCTGTTAATACAAAATTCCGGTTATAACAAACATAAAGCCTTTGTCCCGACTGTGCATTTATGTGCACAATGAATGGGACCGATGTTCCTCTTAATACAAAATTCTGATATAACAATTTGGCTAGGTCCGAACGAGTTTGTATTAACGAGACTTGACTGTATCTATTTTGTGAAAATCTTGTGGAGACGTATTTATCTATAGAAATTGCCCTGTGGAGACATACACAATCTTTTGTTCACTATTGTGTGCATGTCTCCAGAGGGCACGGTGAATCAGATCAGCAGGGTTATTGTCGAGTCCTCACAAGTCAATCACAAGTCAGTCAGTCACAAGTTCTTTGTCATTGTTATCCTCTGTCACTTTTGACATTTCTTGTGAATGCCAAACTGAGTTTTGAGGCTGCTGTCTTGTCAGTCTGGTTTCCCACCTTCTCTTCCACTTTGGCCTGCGTTTTGCTCTTTTTCTGCTTCAGTTTGCGAGCCTTGGAAAGCACCATCTGGAGTTCTTGTTCAGCCTCGTCTTCAATGGGTGGCCCGCTGTATAAGTCATCTTCTTCGTCTGGTCCCATGATATCAGCTGAACAAATGTGCATATCAATTTCTTGGTCAAACTCAGTTTGTTTTTTACTGTTTGGTTTGCTCAAACTTACATACATACTGACATTAGGCCAAAAAAAGTCTCCGGTTTCTGGTATGGAGCTTGCCCAAAAAGTGGTGCGGCGATGCGTTTTTTTTGGGTTTTTTTTAACGTTTTTTTCCTTCAAATGTCTGATTGACTGCAAATGGTGCCCGACTAAACTTAGTGCAAATATATGGGAGTCCAGAGAGGCCACATAAAGCTTATTCTCAATCGTAACCCCGTCCAAAACACGTTAAAATTGTGCAGCAGCAGGATTCCAGTCAAACCAGTGAGTTTGGTGGTTTGGGACATCATCATGGAAAAAAAAAACTTTTTCATTTTGCCAACTCGCATGGCTATGGCGACGTGCGCGCATACCAGAAACCGTAGACTTTTTTGGGGGGCCTTACATTTCCTTTTTTAAAACTTGGAAATAAATAAATCAAAGCACAGGATATTGAGGTATTACTAAATGATTGTTTATGACTTGCTGTTCACAAAGAGACATTTGATGATACAACTTTACCCTTTTCACATTTCGTGAGCGAAAATTGTTCAAGATGAAATAAAAAAATGTCACTACTTACACTGTTCTACATCTGGTAGATCCAGATCCATATCCATTGGCTGTTGGTCTCCATCTAGCCCCTCCACTGATGGTGCCTCCCCATTGTCTGTAATGGAATCTTCCGCCGGACGTCGTCTCATTCTTCCTCTATGGTTACATACATTTTGAACATTAACAGTGAAATATATCACAAAAGTTTGATTGTTGTGATCTGATCCCATGAAATGAGTAAAAAGGACAATTGTTCATCCTTTTAGTTTTTTTCAAATGCAGTATTAGTGCATTATTTTCATATTTCTCTGTTTGACATCTTAATTAGATGATCGGGTTCAAACCGATCACCTATTGATGTTGCAACAATTAATCTTATTTCTTTGTTGTTGTTTTTCTTGACGATAATTCTCCGCGAGTTTTCTTCCTAACGCAAGTACATGAACTTTGAGACCAACAGCAACTTTGGTCTGAAGATGTGCATATTTCTGTGCCTCAGGCAATATAATAATATGCTTCCCGGGCACAAAACCATTTGACCCTTACTTCCGGTGTTAATGGAAGTGCAATGAGAATTGAATATAACTTGAAAACAGAAGCAAATGTTCAGTGAGGAATGCCAAACGCAAAAATCGATATGATGACGTCATCACCAGAGGCCCTAGCGGCATGTCAGAGATAGTTAAACCTCTTTGATTTTTAAAAACCATTAATCAAAGTTTTACCAAATTGCCCCCAGAGTAGGGAGAATTCGAAACTGATCAGTTTCTTTTATTTATTCAAATCCATCATTTCGTCGGTCGCACCACGAAGTCACGTATTGTGTGCACAAAGTCCATAGACGATACGTCACTTCGCGGTGCACCCAACAATTTGATCTGCGTCAAATGACTATATTCTTATCATAGATAATGATATCAGGAACAGTATGTGATCTTGGGAGACAAAATGCTGTGACATCATCAAATCGGAAGTTAGGCGTCATTAACACATGGATACATTTATACATAAATTGTAATTTTTATGTGTTCCAAAGTTTTTTTTCACTTCATGATTATGTATCCTCTCTGAACTAAATCAATGATTTATTTGCACATTTTAACTGATGACGTTATCAAACCCGAAATAGCGTGTAGGTGAAAATTTATGCTTAAATATATATCAAACGCAAAAAGGACACTGGAAAGGCTGAATTTTGTAATTGTTTTGTTCTTCTGTTTTGGCATGAAAATATTCACAACTCAACTGGGAAATGTCCACGAAACGAAACTTTGACGTTTTTTTCACGGTTTAGTGAAGCTTCTCAGGTGGTCTTTGTGGAGTGTTTTTCTTGAAGGATACGCAAATGAGGAAACCAACCTTGAACCGTGGTCATCGGAGGCATCAGCATCGTCTGGTGTCAGGTCGTCTACGGTGAACTTCTTCTTGATCTTGCGTTTGAATTTCTTCTTCTTGGGTTTCTTGAAGGCTTCCATCTCGGCCGGTGTGTAGTACTCGCTGGCCAGGGTGGGTGCCTTGAAGTCCAGACTGACCTGTGTGCAATCGGATGTGAATGGTTTGCATGCTGCAGTCAGTGATATTATTATTATTATTATTAATCATTTCTGGTAATGAAACCAAGGATTCCTCAAAAGTGCCCTAGGCACTGTAGCTCGCAAGCCTGAAGAAACCTGTGGAGAGAAGACAATGAGAAGAAGTTACAGTTTTAGAGGTGGGAGGAAAAGCCCAGAAGAATATTCTGGGGAAAACCCACGGAATCAGGCAGGGGCTGAAAACCCAATCCACATATTAGCCCAGGCGGGATTCGAACCCGGGTCACAGCGGTGGAAGGCGAGGAAAGTACCGCTACGCCAACCTGACTCCCTGAGTACGATTGTGGCAGTGTCGCAGTCCTTCACAAGTCTGTCACAAGTCCTTAAGTCACAAGTCAAGTCACGAGCTGTTCAAGTGACAAAAGCATTCCTTTCTTGTTGGTCATCCCTGTTACTTGTGATTTGACTTGTGAAAGGACTTGGGATTTACTTTGGACCAGATTTGAAAAAGGGATTTGTGATGTACTCGACTACAATACTGATTTTGTGTGGTTTTTTTTAACATTTCAGTTTATCTAAGCTTCTTTTCCAGGGGTGTGAGTGACCACTGATAAAAATAGCTGAAAACAGCTGAAAAAGGTTTAAAAAAGCTGAACTTTGGAAATCTCCTATACTTTTGTACACAGCAAGTGATGGAAAAAAGTTGAAATTCAAAACCCAAAAAGCTGAAATAAGCTTTAAAGCTGAGATTTCACTCCCCTGTTTTCGGAAGCCAACAAACTCACAAATGTGTTTGTTCTGAAAGAACCGGTAGTGGGAATGTTGTCAACATTTCAGACAGTATGCTATCGCTGTCCTTAAGATCAAATTCCTCAGGCCATTTTCTTGGCCAGTATTTGCATGTCACAGTTCAATGTTAAAAATTTTTTTTTTGATTTTCAGATTTACTGATATTTGTAATATTTGACATGTCTACTAAATATATTTTAAGGAAACAATATAAAGATTGCATAATAAAAGTGTTTTTAAGGAAAAACAATTAGACTTTATTTTGTAATATTTTTTTCAGCATTGCACTTTTTTTTACATGGCGATAAATGTGAACTTTAAACACCCATAACTTGTCAATGGAATGTCCAATTGAAGTGCAACAAACAGTATTGTGAAGAGCATTTTCTTTTCTTTCCTAAAACCCAAAATCCCTCCTTTGGACCTCTGTCTGCCCAGTTCGATCTCATTTTGCCAGAAAGCCTCACAACTATGGTGAAATGGAGGCTTATTCTGACAGCACATCCAGAAACAGGAATGTCATGGGTCGGGGAGTCAGGTTGGTGTAGCGGTACTTTCCTCTCCTTCCACCGCTGTGACCTGGGTTCGATTCCCACCTGGGCCATTATGTGATTTAGGTTTTCAGTCCCTGCCTGATTCCGTGGGTTTTCCACAGAATATTCTTCTGTGGTTTTCAACCCACATCTAAAACTGTAAGTTCTTCACATTGTCTTCTTCTCTTTACTGGGCCCCATGGGAGATCGGTGGATTACACTGAATGGGCTACCCAGTTAAAATAAGAATTAAAGGGAAAATACAACATTTGCAAACATCAAAAAATAAAACTACCAAATCATTTTGAAATACCTTGCTGGACTGTTAGTGAATGACAGTGTAAAGCATCCTGTAAAATCATGGCACCTGGTATACTGTCATTTTCAAGAAAAGTGGTATTTTTGTATCAATTTCCAATGCTGGTCGGCCGACCAGCGTTGGAAAAAACTGGCTTTTTTAAAATACTGGCCCCAATTGACCATCGCACTTATTTGCAATCGATTACACACCTATGAACGGGTACAAGCCAGCTAGACTGGTTCCCTGACCTTACAATTCCCCAATGTATGCAAACTGCTCTGTTTCTTCTTATATGGAGTCAGGGAACCAGACTACAGGAAAATGATTGTTTTTCTTGGTTTTTATAGCATTTTCGAACCCAAAACCTAAAAAAAGTCAGTGTAACTATATTTTCTATATATTTCCAACCCCCCAATTCCATCCATTTCTGAAAATTACAGCAAAGGCAAATGATGTATATTCCCTTTAAATAAATGAATAACTAAATGGACAGGATACAATAGAATAATAATACTACTAATAATAAACCGAATAAGCCACCAGCCTCACCGCTTGAGCTTGGAGGTTTGCTCGTATTCTCTCCAGACATTTTTCTTCATCATCGTAAGATGCCGAGTCACCGAGCCTGAAGGATTCTATCTTAGCTCCCTCGATCTCTTCATCATATTTGGTTAAGACGTCACGCGGTTTCATCTGTAACAAACCAAATAGAAAAGGTACAAACGGTTTGCCAATCAAAATAATCGTGGACTCAAAACAGTCATTGGGAGAATGTTTTCCCCACTTCCTAATAGGGGTTCTTTTATGTCCTTATAGTGGGGTGCTGTGGTCCAATGGCTACGGTGTTCGACGTGTGTGCCGTGTGCCGTGGTACATGGGTTCGATTCCTGAATGTGGGAACATGGTGGTTGTGCTTTTGAGCAAGGCACTTTACCATTATTGCTTCGTCCTTCGGATGGGACGTAAAGCCGTAGGTTCAGGGTGTTAAAGAACCCAGTAACACTTATCGCTAAGAGAAGGGGTTTGCGCTGGTGTTTCTTGCAGTGGCTGCAATATGCGCCGCGGCACCTTGTAAACCCTTATAAAGGTGCTACATAATGGGTCTCATATTTCTCATGTACTTCATTCACCTGTCTCTAATAATAGACATAATTTCCAGTGCTTTGAGTACCTAGTTGTTGGTAGATACGTGCGCTATATAAGACTCTGGTATTATTATTATTATGTTTTCAAAAAAAAAGAAGATACAAGACTGCACAGAGTAAAGTATTATATCTGACCAGCGTGGTCCAATGGATATAGTGTCTGAACCATTTGTTTGAACCCTGACAAGGTTCATGGTGCTTGTGTTCTCAGGCAAGACACTCTACTATGATTGTCTCTCCCAGGAGTACATATGAGTACTCATGAAGGTACAGAACAGACTGTGCTGATCTTGAACAAGCTGCATAGAACTGATCTCATAGATTGACAAAAAGCTGGTAATCGTCACGAATTTGAAACATTTGTATAAAGCACAATAAAATCACATACAATCCCATATTCATCGATGGTGTCTCCCTCGTAGGGCCGGTAGTCTTTCTTCTTCTTCCTGAGTTCTACATTCTTAGCCGCCTTCTCATCATCCAGGATGTTGACATTCATCAACTCGTCTTCATCCTCTCCCAAGACATCTGCAACACATGACAAATGATGTACTACCTTTAAGACTGGCTTATTTGTGATTGACCATGGTTTATTTGCAATAACTTGATTACAATCATGTACAGTTCCAACTGCCAGATTTGAACTGACAATTTTTAAGCACCACTTTTTCGTGACAAAACACAATGGGAAGAATGAAAAAGTCAAAAGGTAAAAATATCTTGACGAGGACAGGGCTCACCTGCATCTTTGAGGGTCAGGATGACATTTTTGCCTTCCTTGAAAGAGCCGACTGAGTGCAAGACCTTCAAGTCACGGATGTGTTTGGAGGAATACGCCTGCAAGGTAAAGAGTGTCAAAGTTCTGTATTATATAATGGCAGAAAAATACGAACAGTGCAACAACGTTGTATCTCGCACATACCGATGTCCATTGACTTTGTGTATCCGGGTTATTTTAAGCATGGTATGACCTTTAGACAATGAAAGCTCACGTTTCACATACATGACGTCACATGCCATTTTAGGAGATACATCCTTGTTGCACGGACATGACGATATATTCACTTGAGAGTCAAGTTTGAAGGATGTTTCCCAATTCCACTTCAATGTGCGAACTGATTCTACCGCTTGTTTGGGTGCTGTTTCAAAAACTCTAAAATACTTGGACATGAGTGCTGTTAGAACAGTAAGTAATTTCTTTTTCCCAGAAGGAAATGACTGTGAAATAAGTACTGGCTTGTTCCCTGTTCCAGTGGAGAACACTTCTGTAAACTGGTACTTTCAAGTTTGAAATGGAACTGGAAAATTTCAAAATTTTAGATGCTCTCTTACAGTGTCCTTTCTAACATAAAGACATAATTCTGCAAAACTTCTGCAGAGTTCTGATAAACTTGTGGTACACCCTGAACCCCTTCTAAATCACATGAAATTTCCGGTGCCCCAAGCCCGGGGATGCCTCAGATGGGCCTGAAATGTAGAGCACCCTACCCAAGTTATGATGGTACATATGTTTAAACCCCGCTGGGAATCACAGAACTTGTGTTTCTTGGGCAAGACACTTTACAACAACTGTCCTCTACCAGGGGTATTAATGGTAGCAGTGATGGTAGAGAACAGATTGCCCTGATAATAACTGAATTCATGGCCCGATAGACTAGGGTAATAATTGTGCAGTGCTTAGTTACATTTGCATACATGTAAGCACCAAATTATTACTATGATAATTAGGCCGAGTAAAAAAAAAAATTAGTTTCTCGTCCGGGGTTTTTGAAAAAAGGGAGGAAGCGGGGCTTTTTATTTTTTATTTTTTATTTTTTTCAAGATGACCGCCTTTTCAAAATTTCCTGCAACCGTTGGTGTTCCACTGTTCAAAGACACTTTTAAAGATGAAAGACAAGTTGGACAAGAGAACTGAACATATTTACAGTGTCATTTAGAGTTGTATTGGTATTGGTATTTATTTTCCGATGAATTTGTAGACTTTTTCGGTGTTTTTCTACCACATTTTTCAAAAATAAAAAATAATAACAAAATCCAGGCGGCCTCCAAAAAGGAAGCGGGCAGGGACGAGAAACTTGTTTTTTTTTTTACTTCGCCTTATCAATGTTACTATTATGTACTGTGACCAAAATTTGACCTACCTCATCCTTCTTGGGAGCGAACTCATTCTCCACCAGTGTGCCAATGCCAAACTCCTCATCCATCTCTTCCAACATCTTGGCTCGCTTGGCAGCCATGTCTCGCTCCAGTTGGTTCTTCCTACTACGCTCCACCCAGGCCGTTACATCGTCAAGGTCCTCCTCTTGCTGTGCTATCTTCTTGACTTTCCTGGGAGAAAAGGGTGGACACATTTTAACTCCGTCTTAAGACACAAGAACATGGTTTGTTTGTGACTTGTTTTAGGCCTGGTTGAAATTTAAATAGTGGTAGGAATTAAATCCGGATATTTTTAAAATTTGGTTGGAATTCCACAATTTGGTTTTGGTTTTGGAAACAGTGTTTTTGAAACCAACCTTGAAAAAAATTAGGTCTTCCATTTTCTTGCGACAAAGGCTAAAATAAAAAACAACTGAACATTCCCCAATTTGCTCCACGGTCTCTAATTGTCTCTAATTGAAGATGCAATGGCTTTGAGTAGATTCAAAATGAACACAAGGTGTGCGAACTTCGTGATTTACCCCTTGCGAACAAGTGCGCGTACACTGTGTGTCCTGTCCACTGAGCTCTCGAAAGTGTTTGCTAACAGAGCCCTTACCCACACCAGAATCATGTCACATAACACACCATCCAAACCTAAACAAACTGATGCTATTGCTGACTCAGCATAGCTCAATTCCAATCAAGTCCAGCCTCATCAAGTCGATCCGATTTAATCCATTGCAATCAACCTGCAGTCTAATCTGACTCAGTCAACCCAACGTTACTCAACCAATCACCCCATTGCATCCCTAACACCCCCATTGCACTGCAAGTCTTACTGGAGTTTCTGGTTGATCTTGCGTTTCTCCTTGATGAGGGCCAGCTTGGCTTTGATCTCCTCAGCCTTTCTCTTCTCCCCGAGGTTGACGGCTGGCTTGTGGACATCCTCCCCCTCTTTCTTCGCTCCATCCCCGCCTTCCGCTGTCGGCTGGCTTGCGTTCCCGTCCACCTTCAAAGGGGGCAGGCCGAGCTTGGCTCGGATTTTACTAGTAAAAAGAAATTCAACAAATCTTTATCAAAATCACTGGCACTATGCACTATGCACATTGGATTGCACAGTGGAGTGCTGTGGCCTCGTGGTTATAAGGGCACTGGATTCGTGGTCTGTGGGTAAAGCTGCGGGTTGTGGGTTCGAGTCCAGCCGGGGTCATGGTGCGTGTGCCCTTGAGCAAGGCACTTTGTCACTCATTGCTTCTCTCCACCCAGGAGTAAATGGGTACCTGTGAAGGCAGAGATGGTTATTGTGATTGAATAAGCTTGCTTGTGCCTAACAGGCTGCATCGAGCTGTATACTCCCCAGGGAGCTGAGATGGTACTTGGAATGTTTAATTGGCCCAATGATCAGGGGTAATAATAATACTGTAAGCGCTGTGATTTAGTTTACTAATAAGAGCGTTCTTAAATGCCGATAAATTATTATTATTATTGGATTAACTCTAACAGTGTGCAAGTGTAATGTACACCTATGTATTAGTCCAAGTGCCAATCTCTACAGTGCTCGTGATGATACAAATTTGCCCATTACAAAAATTTGCCCAATTTTGAGGTGTAGAAGACACTGCTTTCTTGTAAGAAGCTTACTTTACTCCCACTTGCTAAAAGAAATAGCAAGTATCTTACACCTTTCATGTCATTCATAGTATCCACTTGTACTAAAAGGGCACTGTAAGGGTTGAAGATTCCTTTAAATAATCAAAGAGGTTATTGAAATCAATTACTGACAAATTCCTTTGCAATAGTTTTGCTTGCCTTGTTGTTTACCTGAGCAGCACAGTCTAGAGGCAGGTGTCATTTACAAGTTGGCTAAAAGTGCAAATGTAACCTAACAAATGTCTTTGTTCAAGTCCCTCTAACAGCGCACTGTTAACTCTAACAGTGCACAATGCATGTACATGTGTGAGTGATGTCATGATATGAACCAGCCAGCCGACCCTGGCAAGCTCGGTGGTTGAGTGTAAGACGTCTGCACTAGTAAGTAGGAGGTCGTAGGTTCGAGTCTCACCTGATTGATTTTTTCTCACTATCACTCAGGACAACATTGAGTAAACAGTGTTCATTAAAAAAAAATACGTCAGTGGAGGGCAACCCCATAGTGAATTAACATCACCCCGATGCAAATTCCATCTCTTTAATGTCTTTGTCATGGCAATTTTTAAGTTTTATACTAGAACATGTTTTAAGGAAAAAATCTCGACTTACTTTGTTTCTGCTATGCTGAGAGACTCAACATAACCGCTGCCAGTTTTCTCACTAATGGGTTCTTGGTCTTTCTCAACTTTTACACTGCCACCTGATAACAAAATATTGAAGCAAGAATTTAAAACTGGGATGTACAATGTACATGTAGGATGCGTTGCCAGAATGTTGCACAACACAAGTGATAAAACATGATCATTACATACTAGGCTACATGTACACTGAATTCACTCCTCCACCTTTTTAAGTCAGCCTGGGTAAAATTAAAGTACAGGGTAGGCCTACCGGTACATAAATTTACATATCGAAAATATAGTGCCTATAAAATTAACTGCATCAGTCAGTCAGTGAGTGAAATTCGAAATGGATACTGAAACAAAATTCATGACCAATAATATCATGTATAGCGAGACATCGGGGTCGTACCACAATTCCTTTTTAACCGAAAATGTTCAGGGGAAATGTGGAGAAATTTACAAGAGAAACCTCTAGAGTCTATAGAAGATCATTTTGTGAAATGTATACTGAGGCTGAACATTTTGTGACAGGAGAGTTTGGAGGTCGGAAAAAAATTCAGTTCTGGAAGTTATTTCAATATCAGACAGAACTCACCACTTGCTCCAGCTGATGATGGAGCAATCTTCTTTTTTGATTCCCCGTCGATTTCTTCCTTCACCAATTGAAACACCTCGTCCACAAAAGTGTCCGGTACGGGGCCAGCACGGCCACCGTCCTCACTTGGACTGGAGCTTCTGTCCCGTTTGTCATGCCTGTGCTTCTTTTTCCTGTCGTGTCTGTCCCGTTTGTCGGCCTCTCCGATGTCGTCCCTCGGTGACCGTGATCGGTGCCGGTGTTTGTGCCGTTTTTTCTCGCGGTGCTCTTTGCGCTCATCTGCGTCGCGATCCTTGTCGCGTTTGTGCTTGTGTCGTTTTTCGTCCCTGTCGCGATCCTTGTGCTTCTTGGACGAGCCCATGCCTTTCCTACTTAGTTCAGATTTTGAATAATTGGTTCACACTTCGATTCATACTATATTCATGCTATAAGAAGTATAAAAGGAGAGGATTTACCGGATTCTATCCCAGACGCAACGTTACGTTGCATGCAGAACACACTCGTTTTTTTCACGTTTGCTTTCAGGGTGACCGTAAGGACATGGCCAAATTCTGCTAAATGCACTTCGAAAATCTGTCAGATTTATCAAAATCTGCCAAATTCCCCAGAATTACTCAAAATATACTATAAACACTTAAAATCACATGCAGATGTTGTAGTATTGCCTTAATTAAGTTTCAAATTACATTATAAACAATATATAAGTCACATAAATATGTTACGAAATTGCATCGCTTTCAGGCAAAACGTGCCTGCGTCACGATCAAAGTCCGGTTCCCAGTAAACCTCAGCACCACTAGCTAACCTGTCCCATTTATGCAAGGGTATGTTTGAAAAGATTGAAGCTTTTTGTTAAACAAATGTACCATTTTTTTTAATTTGCTATGTTTTTCTGTCAAATAACCATTTTGCAGAATTCTGCCAGAAATCTGCAAAAAAATCCATTCCATCAAATTTTCTGTCAAACTCGTTTTTTCAACAAAAAAAATCTGTCAAGTTAGCCGAAAATCGGCTAAAACGGTCACCATGTTTGCTTTACAAAAACAGCGCCCTCTTCTGTTTTGGGGGTGCTGCCCTCCATTGGCAACTATTAAAGATGATAACCCTTTCGCTCGTACCCCCCGCCCTAGCCCTGCAAACAGGACGCTGGGAACAGGGATACTCTGATGAGCTTCACAGAATCTTGTGAAGGAAATGGCCTATGACCTATGTATAAAGCTGGCTGCAGTTGTTTAAGACTGCAGTTAGACAATGTGCGCAAATGCTATCCGAAAATTTCCCATAGAATTGCGCACATTCCATACCGGATATGATTTCTGTTTCAGCGCGGATCCGCATGTGGACTCAATTATGAGCGTCGGATAATGCAATCCGACCGTTCGTGATTCGAAACGGAGCCTGAGCGAGTGAGGGGAATTGTAAACTCAGCACAGATAGGTTTTACAGAATTTCCTACATTATTACGCTTTTCAATGAGAAAAAAATCTCTAAACTGGAATAAAAGAGTAATGAATCAGTCTTAACGTACGGCCGTACGTTGCAGAGTCATGACCTAGACGCACAGGTCACTTGTCACGCAAAATCCAACCAATCAGAGCATGAATTCATCAGAGTATCCCAGCGTCCTGTTTGCAGGGCGGGGGGTACGAGCGAAGATAACCCTTCGCTCGTACGCCCGTCCGTTCCCCCCCCCCCCCCCGCCCTGCAAACATGACGCTGGGATACTTTGATGAATTCACGCTCTGATTGGTTGGATTTTGCGTGACCTGTGACCTTCGCGTCATCACAGTCATGACTCTGCAAGGTTTGAAATGGCCGTTAAGACGGATTAATTTCTCTTTTATTCCAGTTTAGAGATGATTTTTTTCTTTGAAAATCGTAATAATATGTAGGAAATTCTGTAAAACTTATCTGTGTTGTAAATTTACAATTCCCGTCACTTGCTCAGGCTCCGTTTTTGAATCACGAACGGTCGGATTGTATTATGCGATGCTCAAAATTTTGTCCACATGGTGCGCAATGAAACAGAAGTCACATCCAGTATGGAATGCGAGCATTTCTATGGGAAGTTTTCGGATAGCATTTGCGCACATTGTCTAACTGCGGTCTTGAACAGCTGCAGCCAGATGCTTTATACGTAGGTCATAGGGCACTTCCTCCACAATATTCTGTGAAGCTCATCAGAGTATCCCAGCGCCCTGTTTGCAGGGCGGAGGGTACGAGCGAACTCCTTAAACTGAAACGGATTGTTTTTCTCCTTACGAACTTTCGATTTGTATGTTTTGTTTTAACGGAAAAAACAACCTGCTTCATTCCGATTTTGGGCGTCTGCAACCCTCTGACAGTGGATATTTCATTTTGCGCAAAAATGGGTCATCGATTGTGTACACGCACGTACTTAGGCCCCTAACAATGATAATAAGTACATTTATAAGTATAGCGCCAAATCCATTTAAATAAAATGCACCCAGGCGCTTTAAAAATATGATACAATAACTAAAAGAATAAAAAAGATACTATTTCAGAAAAAAAATCAAGATAAAATACACGGGAGTCAGAGGAAAAAAAAATATAAACCAAGCAAATTATAGTAAGCAAGTCACTAAAAGCAGAAAAATTGGGGGACATAAAAAAAACAGAACAAAACTAGAGGTTGTGGTTGTGAACAACCACAGAGCTGTTCCCAGTTTTGATTCTCTATTGGACCGTAAACAAAATGATTTAATGATTAACAAAAAATGAAAGTAATAAATTGAAATTATTACTTTTAAATATACAACCTTTAAAATATTCATGACGTCATAGCATAACAATAATTATGTGCACAGTAATAGTAATTCAATTTAATTATCTGTCAATATAGCTTTGTATTAATGTGAAATTTCAACCTGATCAGAGTAATAATTCATGAAATATGATATAAGGGTCTAAAATGACCACTTCCGGTAAAACCGGAGGTGAAGGTCACATGACCTAGACATGTCAATTTTTATCTATAACACTTCCCTGTCCGTATACCTGCCAGGTTTGAGATCAATCGGTCAAATAGTTCTATAGTTATAGGACTGTAAAGATTGTCTCATTAAATATTCATGACGTCATGACATGACAATAATTAAGTGCACAGTAATAATAATGCAAGAAAATTATCTGTCAATATAGCTTTGTATTAATGTGAAGTTTCAACCTAATCAGAGTAATAATTCATGAAATATGATTTAGGGGTCTAAAATGACCACTTCCGGTAAAAACGGAAGTGAAGGTCACATGACCTTGACATATCAATTTTCATCTATAACACATCCCTGTCTGTGTACCTACTAAATTTGAGATCAATCGGTCAAATAGTTCCATAGTTATAAGACTGTAAAGAGTGTCTCATTAAATATTCATGACTTCCGGTCTGATGACGTCATACACCTTAAACTTCGCACACGTCTTGAGTGGGTCAAGGTCATCATATACACCAATATTTAGGCCATTCCGACAAACTTCGCAACAGACATCTATTCAAAATACATTTTTGAAAATTTTCAACCTGTCGCTAGAGGGCGCTCGAAGATTGCATGACGTCATCGGTAGATGATTTGAAGAATACTATCAGCCAAGAGACTAACACCGTTGAAAGCAAGTTCATATCTATTACCACTTTCAAATAATAAGCCACTTCCGGTTTTGGCCTTTATCGACCGGAAGCAAGGGTCACGTGATTTCACGCACACTGAATGAAATAAAGACCTCAACCTACTCTACAACTTGCCGGCAACAGAATGCTGCGGACGCGTACGGTTGATTTCTTATGCATTTTTTAATATTAAAAGTGTCACAATTTAATTGCCTATAAATAAACACCGGATGACGTCATCATGACGTCATCATTACACAATGTTGTTTGAACTAGGGTCTTTGCTTGGACAAAGATTGGTGTAAATGAATTACTGGCAAAGAGTCGAAAATGCCCTCTGAAAATTGACATTTTAAAAAAAATTTCTGTGTACAAAGTCTATGGGAAAAATTAAATATTCAAAATTCTATAATAAATCACGTGATGACGTCAGCATGACGAAAAGTTTCGGCATACATCCTCAGATGATGGTTAATAACTATGCCAAGTTTAAAGTTGATCAGATTTAAAATAATTGCCAAAGTGGCTTGTAGAATAAAAACGTGTACAAAACCTATGGGGAAAAGTGGAAAAAGAAAAAAAAAAAAAAACTAGAGGTTGTGGTTGTGAACAACCACAGAGCTGTTCCCAGTTTTGATTCTCTATTGGACCGTAAACAAAATGATTTAATGATTAACAAAAAATGAAAGTAATAAATTGAAATTATTACTTTTAAATATACAACCTTTAAAATATTCATGACGTCATAGCATAACAATAATTATGTGCACAGTAATAGTAATTCAATTTAATTATCTGTCAATATAGCTTTGTATTAATGTGAAATTTCAACCTGATCAGAGTAATAATTCATGAAATATGATATAAGGGTCTAAAATGACCACTTCCGGTAAAACCGGAGGTGAAGGTCACATGACCTAGACATGTCAATTTTTATCTATAACACTTCCCTGTCCGTATACCTGCCAGGTTTGAGATCAATCGGTCAAATAGTTCTATAGTTATAGGACTGTAAAGATTGTCTCATTAAATATTCATGACGTCATGACATGACAATAATTAAGTGCACAGTAATAATAATGCAAGAAAATTATCTGTCAATATAGCTTTGTATTAATGTGAAGTTTCAACCTAATCAGAGTAATAATTCATGAAATATGATTTAGGGGTCTAAAATGACCACTTCCGGTAAAAACGGAAGTGAAGGTCACATGACCTTGACATATCAATTTTCATCTATAACACATCCCTGTCTGTGTACCTACTAAATTTGAGATCAATCGGTCAAATAGTTCCATAGTTATAAGACTGTAAAGAGTGTCTCATTAAATATTCATGACTTCCGGTCTGATGACGTCATACACCTTAAACTTCGCACACGTCTTGAGTGGGTCAAGGTCATCATATACACCAATATTTAGGCCATTCCGACAAACTTCGCAACAGACATCTATTCAAAATACATTTTTGAAAATTTTCAACCTGTCGCTAGAGGGCGCTCGAAGATTGCATGACGTCATCGGTAGATGATTTGAAGAATACTATCAGCCAAGAGACTAACACCGTTGAAAGCAAGTTCATATCTATTACCACTTTCAAATAATAAGCCACTTCCGGTTTTGGCCTTTATCGACCGGAAGCAAGGGTCACGTGATTTCACGCACACTGAATGAAATAAAGACCTCAACCTACTCTACAACTTGCCGGCAACAGAATGCTGCGGACGCGTACGGTTGATTTCTTATGCATTTTTTAATATTAAAAGTGTCACAATTTAATTGCCTATAAATAAACACCGGATGACGTCATCATGACGTCATCATTACACAATGTTGTTTGAACTAGGGTCTTTGCTTGGACAAAGATTGGTGTAAATGAATTACTGGCAAAGAGTCGAAAATGCCCTCTGAAAATTGACATTTTAAAAAAAATTTCTGTGTACAAAGTCTATGGGAAAAATTAAATATTCAAAATTCTATAATAAATCACGTGATGACGTCAGCATGACGAAAAGTTTCGGCATACATCCTCAGATGATGGTTAATAACTATGCCAAGTTTAAAGTTGATCAGATTTAAAATAATTGCCAAAGTGGCTTGTAGAATAAAAACGTGTACAAAACCTATGGGGAAAAGTGGAAAAAGAAAAAAAAACTAGAGCTGTATGTCTGTTTGCAAACAGAACACAGGGCTTTTACGCATTTTACAAATATTTGTTTCGTTTGTCCTTTTGCAGTCACTTTTCAGAGTGCTTTATGCAGTTAAAGGTTGTTCAAAACGCTTAGAATAATTCCTAAAGTATAATTTTATCAAATGATGTCACTTGCCCTGCAATGACGTCATCCTTAAGACCCTTCTCAATGCACATTTTGTCATTGTGATTTTGGTTTGAACCAAGTTTAATTTCAATCCGGTGAAAGAAAGTGTGCAATTTGTGGAAGCACAATACAATTTAAAATATCTTAAAATTATAAAAACCAAACGATGACGTCATCGTGACGTCACTTTAAACTTTGTATACTAGTACCATTATTTACCTACCCATTAAGTTTCATGACAGTCGGACCTTTCCTTATATGTGTATTTTGAAAATCGCATTTTTATGACGTCATAATGATGTCAGATATTTTGTTCAAAATGTTGTGCAAATACCTTTTACCTAACAGACCAAATACACAAAGAATTTTTAATTTTGCATGTTACGTTCATGAGATATGGCTAAAAGGTCAAAAACCTCAAATATTCATATAAAATCTCCGGATGACGTCATCATGGCGTCACCTAATTGGTTTTTTTACCTATAACACATCCCGGTCTAGCCACATACCAAGTTTCAACCCAATCAGGCTTACAGTTCTGTAGATATAGGACAACATAATATGCACGTAAATTTTCAAAAATCAATAAACAAAATTGGGTGATGACGTCATCATGACGTCATAGTCTTGGCATAATTTTTGTATGAGGGTCTTCCTTGGCTGTTACATTGATGACGATTCCAGATCGCCAAGTTATAGAAATGGTGGCTTGAAAACGTGTACAAAGTCAATGGGCTAACACGTGTACAAAGTTAACGGGCTAAACAAAATCCCACTGCAGAAAAATTGCACCTTTAATTTGTAATTTGCCTTTGAACTGAAACATTTTTATGAAATATTACTTGATATTCTGACCCTTAGGAATATGTTCAATCGAATGACAGACCGAAAAAAATACGATTTCTCTTTCCTTCTCATAGTAATTCTCGGCTGAGGTTCAGAACTACTCAGTAAGATATCAGTGTTGTATAGGAAAAGACTTGTGGAAAATCCCACTGCAGAAAAACTGCACCTTTAAATACGTAACATAGGGCTTTTCGGCATTATGATTTTTTATTATACGCCCCTGACTATGCGTATGCATGAACATAAAATCTGTCAAGGTTAGCCGAAAATCGGCTAAAACGGTCACTGTGATGTGGACAGGATTTGACCTCGTCAACACGTGCTCTGCAGGCTGACTGACATACGATGTACAGTATGTGCGTAACGTACGTGTATGTACATGTACATATAGACGTTCTGTGCATGTTTTAGAGCAGAGGTATTGTCAACCTGAAGTTTTAAGCGTGCGCAGGGCATGTCCGAGTTCGCTTATTGCCTCGAAGCTTTGATATGTTTTAGACCTACCCTTAAATCGACGATTAAAGTAAAAACTAACATAAAAACTGCCATGGTTGATTTTTCAGGAATTTTCAAATGAAAAAGGGTCTTTTTATTATAACTTCCGGTCTGATGACGTCATTTGCCTAAAACTTCGCACACGTCTTAAGTGGGTCAAGGTCATTATATACACCAATATTTAGGCGATTCCGACAAACTTCGCCACAGACATCTATTCAAAATACATTTTTGCTAATTTTCAACCTGTCGCTAGAGGGCGCTCGAAGATTGCATGACGTCATTGGTAGATGATTTGAAGAATACTTTTAGCCAAGAGACTAACACCGTTAAAAGCAAGTTCATTTCTATTACCACTTTTAAATAATAAGCCACTTCCGGTTTGGGCCTTTTTCGACCGGAAGCAAGGGTCACGTGATTGCACGCACACTGAATGAAATAAAGACCTCAACCTACTCTACCACTTGCCGGCAACAGAATGCCGCGGACGCGGACGGTTGATTTCTTATGCATTTTTAAATATTAAAAGTGTCACAATTTAATTGCCTATAAATAAACACTGGATGACGTCATCATGACGTCATCATTCCACAATGTTGTTTGAATTAGGGTCTTTGCTTGGACAAAGATTGGTGTAAATGAATTACTGGCAAAGAGTCGAAAATGCCCTTTGAAAATCGACAATTTTTTCTTAATTTTTGTGTACAAAGTCTATGGGAAAAATTAAATATTCAAAAATCTATAATAAATTAGTCAATGACGTCACCATGACGTCACTCTTCGGGGCACATCTCTGCTATAAGGACTATGACTATGCTTAATTTGAATGATGTAAGACGAAGATTAATACCAAAAGTGGCACTGAGAAAAAACGTGTACAAAGTCTATGGGATTTAGGCGGCAAAAAGAAGAAGAAGAAGAAGAAGAAGAAGAAGATACAAAAAAAATGAGAACAGAAAGAAAGGCTTTTTCGCAAAATTGCGAAAAAGCCAAAAAAAAAAAAAAAAAAAAAAAAAAAAAAGGAAAAAAAAAAACTTTAACGAAAACAATAGCTGTTCCCAATTGAAATTGGGAACAGCTAAATACAATAAAAAGCAGCACATACAAATATATTATGAAATATCCAGGGCCTGCCGGGAACATAAAAATTACAGTTAAAAATATTAAATAAACAACTTTCATATAAAACCCCAAACGGAGATGACCTGAGCACATAACACTAGAAAACCGAAGTACGTACTGAAGTTGAAACCATTCCAATATTCTAACATTGAGCACGACGTCTTTAATTAATACGAATACATAATTAGTATCCTTTCGGTTTGCGGTAAAACTCATGCAGTTAATGAGTTTATGGGTCAGATTTGACCCAAAATCTAAGTCTATATCTGCACAGTCCTTTTCCGGATAAAAAATATGATATTTTCTGGTCAAAATTACACTTTCCCGGGTAAAAAAATGGCAATTTCTATATCATTTTGATCCAGAGAAGTGTTGACCCGAAAAAGATCCGTGCAGAACATAAAGTAGACTCAGATCGGGGTCAATCTGTCCCAGGAGTTTTTATACGAGATGATACGGCGTTATTGTTAGACGCGTGGCGACCTTTGAACATTCTCTGCGCTTGTCGGTGTGACGACTGATATAAACCCATGTACATGTGGTAGGCCTATACTTGAATATGCCAACGATTTCGGAATATTTGTAAGTTTTGTTTATGGGGAGGCACGTACATGAACAACACAATGACATCATACGCCCTCGAACCTCTTCATTCTCGCCAAGACTTGATTGAAGACACTGTAAGACTCCTCAAAGACGAGTGGCCAATGTGCTTGGCCGAAAGGTAAGAACCTGTGTAAAAAATGGCATGCATGACAAATGGAACGAAAATCTGGCTGATACAGTACGCAGACGGACGTCATGCGCCCGGTGCAAGTAAGCTTAACACTATAGACTTTTATTGAAGTCGGTAATTATACCAACGTTTTGGTTCTATACCCACCGGCAAATTTTAAATTTCTTCTTTCTTATAGTCATTTTATACGCATTCGTGAAACATAGGCCTATCACGTCAGGGTTGACGGTTTATATATTCATTTATAGTTTCTTTAATCGAAAAATCTGATTTTATTTTAAACTTTAAATCGGAATTGTTAAAAAAAAAATTATCTTTCAAAACATTGACTTGTCTCATAATTTGTCGAAATCTTCCCATGCACCTTTACACCTATCAACAAGGAGTTTTCACGTTCATATACCAATCATCTACGAAACTCAATTCAGTATTCAGAAATTTCCGTACAAACCAAATTCCCACTTAACATCGAAAATGCCTTTAATGAACAAAATTGTATTGAATCGGTGATTTAAAACAAATCGCTTGATCTCAACCTCATTGGTAGCAGGGTATATAAAAATTAGGGACTTTAAAGCTGATGGCTTGATTGATGCACGTTCGAGATACGTTGTGTGTGGATATGAATGGTATACCAGAAACTACTACATGTAGAAGCTGGGCATGTATGTTTCTTTAAAACATGCTTTTAATTTCAAAGCGACAGCACTGATCTTTATGAAACTTATAGAAAGAAAGTTTGATTGACGGTCCTTCATACAAGGTGGAAGTTAAGTAAGTTAATTAATTTGGTTAATATTGTTATGAAAGTTAAATTGTTATGAAATTAAAATGAAGCATAAAATAAGTAATTTAAACATCATTTCTGTGATCATGAAATAACTTGCATGATTGCAATCACATAGACACGCGTGTAGATAAATTCGTCGTCGTTTATACGAACCGGCAATATAGGCAAATTGCATGAATTTTTCGATTTTCTAATTTTTACATATTACTAACTTACTTATTAAAATCTACCTTCACGTGAAATTTCAACTCTAAAAACGCGCTAGATTCTAAGATACAAACAATCTTGAAAATATCTTGTGACCGAAATATAGTCAAAGCGTTGAAACTCGGTCTGTACGAAGTGACAAAACAATACGCGGTCAGTTCGTAAAACCCGCCCATACAATGATTCCTGTCGGGAGCGCGCTGAACGCGCTTGCCCCGAACCGACGCAGTTCAATGCTATGTAACGAAGCTGTATTAGGGAAATAGTGAGAAAAAACATTATCTCTCCCATGGCCGTAGGCAGGATTTTTTTCGAGAGGGGGCAAAGCAAATTTGCTCAGGCTCCCCATATTAAACCCTGTACTTTTTCATCATATTCTTTCGAAGGAGGCAGCGACAATACATGTATATTTGCCACCCCCCCCCTTAAATTAACAGCAATATAACTTCGCGCCTCTTTTTCTTTTCTTTTTTCCTTCATAAAATTGTTTCTCTTTTTTTTTGGCTTTTCGAGGGGGTTCCCATTCACTCTCCCTTCAGCTAACTCATATGTACGACTTGAAAGCTGTACGTACAACTTATATCTCGTACGTACGACTTATAATTATGTCTTACGGTGTCATACGTACAACTGTACGTACGACTAACTTGTACATACGACTAACAAGTCGTACCATGCAACTTAAATATCGTATGTATGCCTTGAAAATCATGCGTACGACATATAAGTCGTACATACGACATATTAATTGTAACGTGTACGACTTATATCTCGTCGCACGACATATACTCGTAGGCATGACATATAAGTCATACGTACGGCTTATGAATTGTAATATGTACGACTTGAAAGCTGTACGTACAACTTATATCTCGTACGTACGACTTATAATTATGTCTTACGGTGTCATACGTACAACTGTACGTACGACTAACTTGTACATACGACTAACAAGTCGTACCATGCAACTTAAATATCGTACGTATGCCTTGAAAATCATGCGTACGACATATAAGTCGTACATACGACATATTAATTGTAACGTGTACGACTTATATCTCGTCGCACGACATATACTCGTAGGCACGACATATAAGTCATACGTACGGCTTATGAATTGTAATATGTACGACTTGAAAGCTGTACGTACAACTTATATCTCGTACGTACGACTTATAATTATGTCTTACGGTGTCATACGTACAACTGTATGTACGACTAACTTGTACATACGACTAACAAGTCGTACCATGCAACTTAAATATCGTACGTATGCCTTGAAAATCATGCGTACGACATATAAGTCGTACATACGACATATTAATTGTAACGTGTACGACTTATATCTCGTCGCACGACATATACTCGTAGGCACGACATATAAGTCATACGTACGACTTATGAATTGTAATTCGTACGTACGACTTATCTCATACGTACGACTTATATATCGAACAAACGCCTTGGGAATCATAACTCGTACGTATGCCTTATAACTCATACGTACGACTAATAACTCGTATATGTACGTCTTGTATACATGTAACATGTAAATATGCATCATCTGTATGTATGACATATACGTACGTCTTATAACTCGTATGTACGACTCATAACTCGTGCATATGCCTTATAATTTGTAAATACGACTTAATCTCGTACGTACGACTTATGAATTGCCACGCGTACATACCATGTATATGGCGCACATACGACTTAGATCTCATATCTCATACGTAGGACTTAAAATTCATAAGTAGCATGTAAGTATCTCCTACGTATGTACGACTCATAACTCGTACGGATGCCTTATAATTTGTAAATACAACTTAGTCTCGTACATACGACTTATGAATTGTAACTCGCATACAACTTATATGTCGTACATACGACTTATATCTTGTACGTACGTACAACTTATATATATCTCGTATGTATGATCGACTCTTAACTCGTACCTTCGCCTACTTATAACTCGTAAATACAACGTAATCTCGTACGTACGACTTATGAATTGTATGAACGTACATACGACTCGTATGTCGTACTTACAATCTCTTATGTAGGTATACGACTTATAAGTACTCGTACGTACGCCTTATAAACTGGTATGTACGACTCATAATTATACGTATGCCTTATAATTTGTAAAAGGTACGTACTTTGAACGTACTTACGACCTACAATTCATAACCCGTATGTACAAGATGTAACTCATACCTACGTACGATTTATGCATTGTAACTCGTGTTTACGACTTATGTCGTACACACAACAATAATATCACGTACTTACTTACGAGTAATAACTTGTACGTACACTTTATAACTCGCAAATACGAACGTATGACTTATGAATTGCAACCCGTACGACTTATGTTGTACTTACGACTTATATCTCGTATGTACGACTTACAATTCATATAAGTGGTTTGTACGAGATGTAACTTGTAGGTACGACTTATATGTCGTACGTACGAGTTACAATTCATAAGTCATAGGTACGACATATGTCGTACGTACGAGTTTCAATTCATAACTCGTAGGTACGACTTATATGTCGTACGTACGAGTTACAATTCATAAGTCGTAGGTACGACTTATACATCGTACGTACGAGTTACAATTCATAAGTCGTAGGTACGACTTATATGTCGTACGTACGAGTTTCATTTCATAAGTCGTAGGTACGACATATGTCGTACGTACGAGTTACAATTCATAAGTCGTAGGTACGACATATGTCGTGCGTATGAGATACATGGTACGTACAAGATATAAGTTGACGTACGAGATATAAGTCGTACGAAGGCAATATATAAATCGTACACACGACATGCAAGTCGAGTGTACGATATTTTAGGCGTGCGTACGACATAAAAATCATACGTCCCGTACAAGTTACATTTCATAAGTCGTAGGTACTGAGGTATAAGTCGTATTTATGGATTGTATAAGTCGTACGTAGAGTTAGCTAAAGGGATGATGAGAGAGATATTTTTCTCAACATGTCCATAATACATGTATACTGTATAGTCGATTCGTGGATTCCATGCGTGCACACGCTTGCGTCATTCTCACTAGAATTTAATAAGGGGCCTGAAATTAAACAAAAATTAACATACCCCCATGCTAAAAGTTAGTAAGTAAATGGAGATTGATGATGGCAATGGATTAAAATTAAGACCTAATTAAATATGAATAAAATAACATGTACATTGTATTGTAGTTGAAAATCACCCAGTGGATATGTAGTGATGTCTGTATTAATGTCTGCTCTAGTATTTGGCAACCCGGATTGATTAATAAACTAATTTGAACACCCCGTGACGTAGACATCAACTTCGCAACCGTCTAGGGCATCCAATCAATCAATCAATCAATCATGTTTTGTCAATAATAATACATGTGGGAACAACATTTTTATTTTACTTTCGCCGATGGATAATTTGGTTTGCAAACAATAATTCAGCACATAAAAACAATCTGGGGCGAACTTCCACGTATAGCGTCAGTTCGTAAACATCATTGCATCATGCATGTCCTAAGCTGTCAAGTTGTTTTTACGAAGTGATAAAATAGTACGTGCGCCAGTTCGTAAAAAAGCTCTCACATTCACAACGTACATCATACAAAAGCGCATAAAAAATGGATTTACGAACCGAAAAACTTGTTTAGAGTTCATTTTCTCCACTAAAATTCCGATTATGAATCTAACCCGTAGGTGTGTTATTAAAAACACCTTCTGTGGAGGTGACCTGCAAAATTTTACCCGAAATTGTGAATGTTGAACTATAAAATTTGTCATCTGAAAACTCGTATAACTTTGAAAGCGGTTTTCTCGAAATCTAGTTTTTACGTGAAATGCTTGTTTCGCCGGTTCGTAAAAACGGCGACGAATTATGAGGGAGCTACCACTGAAATCTCCGGTTTTCCCAAAGAATTTTATTTATTGATGGTGGCACCAATATTTGTCTTTCTTTCCTTTTTCGATTTACCTTTCCTCAAGACTGAAATCGGTTGAAACGTCGAAATGCACAGGTCTGCCCTGCTCACTGGTATTGATTGAAACACGAGAGGGCGCTACAAGCGAAGTTCTTGGCCACGTTCGACTCGTACCAGTCCATCCAGAAAGTGAATGTCGTGTGTATCTCGAGTCAGGTAGGGCCTAACCTCGTCCCCAGTGCTTACTTTATTTCCAACCTCGTTTCCAATAGAAAGCCCTGGATAAGAAACTTTCTTCCTGTATCCTGATTCGATACCGCAATTTGCTAGAAATGGATTTATATCGTGTACTTGGTGTTGTCATTCACAACGTGCAGTACGTGTTTTTCGCGATCATTCGTCCACGCCTTCTCGAAAATAATTCATTTCCTTTCCACTTTGTTAATATTAATATGAAATGTGATACTGCATGGTTGTCTCGTTAAGATCGTAACAGCTTGATTAAAATAAAATTGTGTTTTCGTAACTCACGCCATGCTCGCGCTGCAACGAATTGATTCTGTTTTTACCCCAGACACCGTATACAAAAACAAACGCAACTGTGACGCACAGGCAGGCACCAGACTATTTCTCATTTGCATACGTTTTCAAAAATCTTGGACATGCAAATGATCCAATACCAGGGTGAGAGAACAGGTAGTGGTGGGCGCGTACTGCTCGACACCCTGGGGACGAGATTGGGTAGGGCCTATACGTGTAATAGTGCGGAGAGGACAACCTTGCTCCCTAGGTGGCGGGCAGTACGCTTCCTCTATCTGTTCTTTCACCCGCTACCTGATGATAATATTGGAAACAAGATTAAAAACTATAACTAGAGGTTCGCGTTTGTTGTTACAAACGCAGAGTGGTCGGGCAGGCAATTTGTTCATTAAACACTGCCGAGTTGAGTTATGAATATGTTTATGTAAGAACAAAGGATCACAAATTAAATCCTTTCCAGTACAATCAATTCATTGTTTAGAATGCATCTTTAACGGTGCGATAAATTTTAGTAAACATTCTATGTACACATACAAGTTATTTCTGGCTTTATGACGTCATTATTCAAAAACGGGAACTGAATACTGATGTATTTCGGAGTGGATAAATGTTTGTTGTGAAGTTTAATAACGTATGAAAATATGGAAAATATAACTGAATGTATTCATAACACCTAACTTCCGGTTTGATGACGTCACAGTATTTGGAAGCAAAGGGTGAACATTGTGGATATCGTAATTTGGGCTACGAAGATATACGACATGAATCAAATGGATATCGTTATTTGGGGTACGAAGATAAACGGCATGAATCAAAAGATGCAATTAAATTTAAAATATTATCGTTTTCAAATTCTCATAGATGTAACTTCCGGTCTGATGACGTCATGAATTTGAAACCTTGCCAAATTATTTGTTGTTAATCAAAGAATTTCAAGGGGCGATTTGGTAACATTTTAACGGATGATTTTCAAATTAAAGAAAGCAAACAATATTTAATATGCCGCTAGGGGGCGCCCTTTCGAAAGATGACGTCATCACACTGTTTTGTGTCTGGCATTCCTCAATAAACACTTTCATAATATATATGGGTGTAGTAAAATGCTTCCGCTTTTGAGTTATACTCGGTTTTTATTGCACTTCCGGTAACACCGGAAGTGAAGGTCAAGCGGTTTTGTGTCCGGGGACAAGAAATGTTTCTCACAGCAAAGTCTACAGACTCACGAAAAAACGAACACGATACTATATTTAGTTCAAAAGATATAGCGCAAACTATTTCATCAAAATTTGCCCTTCAGTCACTTGTAATTTGATACATGATGACGTCATAATGACGTAACAAATATAATAGTATCTTCGTAACGTGGTACAAGTTCACACTAGGTTTTATGATCATACCGTAAACCGTACGTAAGAAATTTTGCTTTGTTTTGATTTCAGGCTCAAGTCTTAACTTTAACTTTAAGACTTTAACTTTAACTTTAAGTAACTTTAACCTTCCGGTTGACCCGGAAGAAAGGGTCAAGTGAGTTCATGTACAGAAAAGAAATGTTTATCAATTCATGGTCTACCTGATTACAGAATATAAACATCACTGGTTATTTTGTTCAAGAGTTATGGGTGAAAGTAATTGGACCCTTTTTCATGTAAAATCGCTTGTAATTTGACACCCTATGACGTCATCATGACGTCAGAGTAATATGCACCACTTTGGATGAGGGTCGATGTATACTGAAAGTTACAAGTTCATATCATGAACCGTTTAGGAGAAAACCCGCGGAGAAGTATTGTCCGGGAAAAAAAGAAAGAACCAAACAAAGACGATTTATGAGAACAATTCTAGACAGTGGTTGGGTTGTGCCCGACCACTCAAAGAAGGCCCTGGGGACGTAGGTTGGCGAAGGGGATTTCTACACTGGTTCGGTCCCTCCATTGTCCTGAGGACTTCGAATGTAGGGACCGGCAGTGGCCAATGGATTAGGAATACATCGGGAGGATTTCCTCAGGCTAACGTATGCAAATTATATGAAGGACTAGGAAGATAATACCCATCATGTGCAACTACATTGTACGACTAATTGCTGGCCCTTGAATACAAGACCTCTACGATAATGTATATAAACGCGGAACAATGCGTATCGCAAAATGGCAACAATGCTACAACTAATGGAAGTTTGTGGTTTCGATTTTCGCTGAATTCAAAAGTGTCGCTGGCAACCGTCAATAAAGAGTGGGGCACTGCTTTTCAGTATCATTGAATTAAATGAAACCCATGCAGTTGAAATGCTTGAAAATTGCCTTCGTGCAGACGCTGTGGCGATTGTGCCTATACTGGTTTATTAGAGACAGTTTTTTTGATAGCCATGTTTAACTGTCATCCATGCGCAACTTCGTAAACATCATTTTCATACTGTGCACGCGCTTATTATTAGGAGATCCAACACCTTAAAAGGGAACTGCATGACTGCCGGTTCCCATATTATGGGAACGAACTAGACTAAGGGAAGTCCTTTTGTTCACTCGCATGGTCCAAGAAGTTAGTAGACTGCCGCCGCACAACAGTGGTGCGCCTTCGCACGGATTTGTTCAGCGTGTGATCTAGGAACAAAGTATTGGATGGGTTTTGCATTTCGCTCGTTCGCAACAGTTCGTGAAGCACAGACGTTGCAAAGAATTGTGGGCGGCTATAACTGCCTCACTGACATGTACATTTTGTGCGCACCTGTCATGCGCAAGCGGAAGTGTTGACCCGTGTTATCCAACGGGGGCTCGAAGAAATTTCATGCACCCCGAAGAAACCTTAGCCCTTCCCAGCTCCCTGTGCAGGGAGGACTTTGGAAACGAGCGACTTCTTTATAGGCATGACTGGGGGACAACACTTCGGTGTGCGTGTGACATCGACACGCGTTCACTGATGTGTACGATGTCTTCATGATGAGATCAGTTTCCCTAGCTTCCCAGTTGCGATAGTACGGAAGCGTTAAAGGGACATACTAAAAAAAAAGGTTATAATTATGACTAATTATTAAGTCATAATTATGAATTATATCTTATAATTGCGACTTAGTATTTAGTCGTAATTACGACTTAGGATATCTCATAATTATGACTTAATAATAAGTCATAATTATGAGATATAAGTCGTAATTATGACTTAATACTAAGTCATAATTATGAGATATAAGTCATGATTATGACTTAGTAATAAGTTATTATGACTTAATTATAAGTCATAATTATGAGATATATGTCGTAATTATGACTTAATAATAAGTCATAATTATGAGATAATAAGTCTTAATTATGACTTAATAATAAGTCATAATTATGAGATATAAGTCATAATTATGACTTAGTTCTTTTTTTTTTTAGTTTGTATTATGTCCCTTTAACGCTTCAGTACGATAGAGCGCCGGACAAGCGAATGACAATTTATTTTACCATAGTACGACTTCGCCTTCTCCCAATACTGCAATGGGTGACTAGCCTAACCCGATCATCACCATACGTCATTATTTTCGGAATGCTTCAATGAATTTCTTTAAAATCTTTGTACGTTTTCTCAGTGGCAATCAAGAAGAATAGACAAAAGCAAGGACTTGGCAGGAAAATCCATGAAATGACAGAAGACTACGCTAAGAACCGCCTTGGAAGTCGGTACCTCCATGCCACTGTCCTTACTGAAAGCAACGAGATGTTTTATCGACGTCTTGGGTTTGAAGACTGCCCAGAAACGACTCTTATCGCAGCTAATGTAGGTATACGTTTATGCATTTTCATAATTATTATCTTCAACTAAAATTGAATCATCCGTCCTAATTGGTCGATCCACTTAGGCTACAACAAGCCGTGCTACAAATTAACACATTTTATTTTTACTGATGGGGGATATGACGCTTTTAACACTCGGGGGGGGGGGGGGGGGGGAGGCATAGCACCCGAGGCGAAGCCTATGGGCCTTATTCACGAGTTGGCCATTTTTGTCGAGTTCCCTGAATGTATTTCATTAATTGTTAACTGTTGAATGGGATGGCGCCAGACTATTTATGCAGGCACAATGCAGCCTTATCTTACTGGCCTTTTTTGTTTTTTTTAATATGGCTTTAAACATCAGGGAATGTTTAATTACAAATAAAAAAATTATTCATTGAAGCAGACTGGAATTAATTAGTTATTATCTTGCTTTCATTTCTCTTCGCAAGTTCAGAAAATTAAGATTTTACCTAACTTTCAATTCAATTTGGCCGACTCGTGAATAAGGCCCACGGTGATATAATTATTTGAGCCCCTCTCACTTTTGACCAGGTAATCTTTTTTTTTTACCGTGCCCACTGCCCGTGTACTGTGTGACCAGTTCCCGGGTGCTGGGCGCCCGTACACTGCGAACCGTGTGACATCGCTTGTGTCGGCGCAGCCAGCCCGTGATTCAGCCCGCGATTCGGCCAAAACTTTGAAGGAATGTACCCTGAAACACGGGTATTTTTGTTTTACTCGTGCGGAAAGGGGCCCTGCTATATATTGTGCGCACGAGATAAAAACATTTCTCAATTGTTTTATTTTGTGAATAAAAAGAAACAATTATGCCAGATTACATTACTTATTACGATTAAAAAAATGCGAGAAATCCTGGACAAATTGACCGAAAATGACCTTAATGTTTAGAATTTTCAATGGTACTTACGCTTCTGCCTTACGGCCCTCATTTGCATAAATTATCATTTTCGGGTGAATTCCGTACGGGTTCCACTAGCGCTCGCAGGATAACTGATATTATCGCTAACACAAATGGCAACACGTTTAACATTTTAAGGAGAAGTCCAAACTACGTTATTTCTCACATTTCGGTGGTTAATCTTCTTTCTTTTTGTTAATAAGAGAGAAAATAAAGGGCCATTCCCAATTATATACGGCTGTAAACATCATCACACTCGTTGCTTTATTATGACGGTTAAGTTACCATAACAGACAACTGGTACTAGATATCACGCTGTAAGAACCCTCCACACTGACAAACTGCCTGGGTTAATTTTACCCAAGAAATTGTGAAAACTGGAACTACCCAAACTTGGGTTGTTCTATAACCAATTGTTTGGGTTTGAATTTATGTTAAATTCAACCAAAAGTTGTAGTCATACAAGACCAAATTAAATTTGGTCTTGAATGACCACAAGTTTTGGTTGAATTTAGCAGAAATTTTAACCCAAGCAATTGGTTATAGAACAATTCAAGTTTGGGTAGTTCCAGTTTTCACCCTTTCTCGGGTAAAATTAACCCAGGCAATTTTTCAGTGCATGATGATTAACTTTGAGAGTAAAAATGATGGCCCATCAGACTCAAAAGTTCAATTTATACACCCACAGGTCTTGCGTACTTTCGTCTATACGACGTGGGAAGGCCACATAATTCCCGATGAGTGGAAATCCATGTACGAAGGAGGCGAATCGCTCACCAAGGAAGAGGACGACAAAATCTGGCATCGTTTTTATGCAAAGGATCTGTACAGAGCATGAAGAATTAACACTACGATTTTTTAATATAATACCCAATATTTATATATTGTCCCATCGGTGTGGACTTTCAAGAATTGTGGACCCTATTATCCTCTGTTGTTCAACGTCCCCTATTGATCGCAAAAACTGACTCACCCATTTTACTTACAGCCCAACAAACACCCACACAAACAATCCTTACAACCAAACAAACCAACAGACAAATAGCCCAAAAGACCGACAAACCAAACAAACCTGAAATAAAGAATAGGTTCGAACAGGTCGAGTGAATATCATGTTTTAATAACCTTCACCAAAATGATCAAAATAAATGAAATATTGTCCCAATTCGACATGCACTTATTGGAATTAGAGAATTGTGTCAAATATACTCTGTAAAAGGAAAGGATTAATTTGGCCTTCGTGGCATTTTTAGTGAATCATCTTGTAAGGCTCACGGAGATGAGTTGAATAAAAGTCGATCACTAGTCATCAATGACTAACTAGAGAATAAAATGTGCGTGAGCTTTCGTACTTACAACTGCTTCATCAGATGCAATGAAGAGGGGCATCATACTGTACACTAAACACAGAGTGTGGTAAACATCATGAATCAGTCATCAATGGTGAATAGTGTGACAAAAAGCCACGATCCCTATTGAGGCCTATTGAATATGCAGTCCAGTCTATAATGTTCTTTTGTTCTGCCGTTTCCCTCTCTACCCATCATTGAGATCCCATCGGTTGATTTAATGTGTGTCCTGGTGAGTTGCAATGTGAAACAACTTCACAGAGAGAATCACAACACCAGTAGTAAACGAAAATAACGGAAATCATCAAGCGCTGAACGATTGTTCAAACCATTCGATAGAAACAAAATCTACCCTTACCGATTTTTTTAAATAAAAGGTCACGTGGTAAACATTATTAGCCTTTGATTCCAATCAGTACACTAAACATCGATTCAACGATCTTAACGACGTGAGCAAAGATGGATGGTATAGTAAAACGACATCAATCAAAAAAGTGGATTCTGTTAACGAATGACCTGTCAGCTTTCACAATTACTGTTACGAAACAGCCAAATGTTTAAACAGGTATAATCTAAACAGTTACGAACAGTTACGAAGAAGATTTAGATTTCATGATTTTAATTGATGTAACATCCGTTAACTTGGGAAAAAAGAACTTTAAGAAATGAAATTATCTATTAGAATAAATCTTCGTTGTAATTCAGGTGGGCGTTTTATCCTAAGGACAATGAAGGGACTGGGAACCAATCTAGTCACTGTACTGCACCTTAAACAACACTACAAAGAGTGTACCGTAAAGTAAGGTATACTTGCATATTTGAAAAACTCTTTTGATAATTTGAGAATAATTGTATAAGTATTACACATAGAAGAAGTGTACCTGTAAAACAAAATTGTAAGCAATAAAGAACAGAACTTGTCCATTAGGCCCCCGGATTGGGATTATGCTGTGTTTGCATTCTACTGTTTTTTTTCTCCAAAATAGAGTCCCTTGTAATAAAGGGGTAATCGTATAGCTATTTATCCCAAAAAATGTATAGCAGTTAAATAAATTGACAAATTAAGCTCTTGTAGTTGCTTGACGGTCAACTTTATTTCTTTTGTTAATTCTAATAAGGCTTTAGATGATGAAACAAAGAAAAACGTATTCCCATACTAAATCATTAGGCCCTATCATCAGAAAGAACCAACAAAATCTGTAAAAGAAATGAAAATCTAAGCTGATTAAATAAAACCCAAACGATACCAAAGATAGCCAATCGCTTTAGCCGACTCATGTGCAGGATATTTACGAACCTCTGTTGAGACGATCCGATATGCGGCGCACTATTCCGTCATAGTTGCGGTCGATCACTTGGCAGGGGATGTCAGACAATGGCTCATTCTCCTCGCTGCTCGGCTGGTATACAATGCTGGTGGACCAATGAAAATTAAATAAAGGTTCAGACTTGTGTTAAACTAAATGGTGAGCAAAAAAGCAAAGTCCCTTTGGGTACGTTTTTGTCTGCCGCAGAACGGTAACAGTTTCACTGATATTCATCCATGCATGCAAAAGATACAGACCTCTCTTTGTGATTACCCCAAAACACTACTAACACAATTATTCATGGAATATTCCATTTATCAACACAACTTTGGCAACAATGGGCCTCTGGAAAATGAGGGAAATTCAAGGAAGAACAGAATAGGACATCCATTAAAAAGAATTAACTCAGTGAATTTGAAATTGGATTTATAGATAAGGTTCACATTTTCACTGTCCTGTTCAGGTTCTTGCTTGTATCAGGTTGTCCGTATTTTACAACGTTTCTGTGCACTGTCTGAGCGTTTATAGGCTGCCGTATAACTCCGGAAAGTGTTCTCCAAATTGAACTAGGCCCTATCGTATCTTGTACCCTACCTGTTTCATAAAACGTTCTGACCATCAAGGCCCCTTGCGATACCTATTTTGAACCTTGTTCATTGTGAAAAGGAGATTAAAAGAACGGTCATTATACCTTGGTACCATATCGGGGAGTTCAACATTCCAGAGATAACATTTGTCTTGCAGAAGATACTGCTTGTCAACCATTGGCGGGGACAGGTCCTTGTAGTACATGGTCTGCGTGTTGAACTTATGCCAAGTCTTGGCAACAGGTGTCTCATTGTCGTTGGGATTACTGATCAGGAAAAAAAGAGAGAGACCATTGAATATTCCAAAAGGGAACAAATACTCTCAAACTAGAAAGGGGGTTGTCCAATAAAAAGAAATGATAACGAAGCTCGAAGCAATACTTCTAACTATAAAAGGATGGCTGTAAAGTTGAATAGGCTCTCCTTCTATATGCTAATTGCTTCTTTCTCCTTGTTTGTTTTGGAAAACTGGATAAACCCACACCCGTATTTAGAGAAGAAAAAGAAAGAGTATCGCAGCGTAATTGAAGCCAAATTTCATTACCCGGTTTTGGCAAAGTTGGTCCAGTATCGCATCACATCCACCGACATGTCTACCTCTTCCTCCGTCAACTGAAGGGGTGGTTTTAGGTCTGGATTGAAGGTGCTACCAAAGACGTAGCCAAGCTCGTCCCCGTGTTGCACGGTGTCGGGCCAGGTTTGGTTTTGCAAATGGAAGGAGGACACATGAGTCATCTGGTACTGGTAGGTGTTGGGGTTGGCCGCAGCGAAGGCTTTCACGACGGTATCGGTGGGGCAGGCGAAGCCCTCATCATTAGCGGTGTGATACAACGGCTTCAAGTAGTTGGATTGGTCCGCGGTCGTGTAGTTCGCGCTGATCAAGTCCAACATCTCTTGGTCGTGCTCGATGTAGACATAAATGTTGAGCAGTTCGTCAAACTTCTCCTTGTCGATTACGGGGTGTTTCGGGGGGAGATGCAAGTGTCTCAAGGAGTCAGATAGGACGGCCATCATGGATATCAGCGTGCCATCGTCCCGCTCGGTGCCCAGCAGGACGTCGCTGTTCTTGAAATCACCTAGTCGCAAGAGCTCGGCCGGATCTTTGGTCAGAAACTCCCCGTCGATGGTAGGTACGAATGGGATCTCGTTTGCTTTTTCCAAGTTAACAAGCCTGAAACGCAACACCTGACGAAAAGAATAATCACGGAAACACTGATTTGACATAAAACAAACGGGGTGAGTTCGAACATGACACTGCGAACTCAGAATTGAAAGAGACATTTGGGAACGTCGGTGGTAAACTAAACTGCCTCCCTTGGAAATAATTGAGAACCAGAAAATTTACTTTTCTAAAAAAAATCCTCCTATTGTATTGTTGTTGCAAACGTTTGCCTCAGGTTGAGCGTGACGATCCGTTCATTGCACTCAAAATGGCGCAGTCTAGCTCCCAGACCAAACAATTCTGACTATTTCTGATGAATCTTTAAGGTCAGGTAGCCGCTACGGCACGTGACCCAATGTTTCTGAAAATGCTCGAAGTTTGCTGAATGTATTTCGTCGACAATCTCGGATTGCGCTCGGGTATTTCTGGGTATAGAGAAGGTTTTATTTACCTGCCATGTTATTTAAAAAAAAGAAAAAGATAATTGATATTGATTGCTTCCATTAAAAGAACAGAAATCCAATGAAAATTTTGTGAATATGCACTCAGATTGTACAAGGTGCGAGCTGTGCTGTGCCATGCACTGCTTGGAGCCTGACGATTGCCGGGATATGTTCCCAAACCTTAGCATTTTCTCCATTTTCGGCTTCGCCTGCTATTTCAATCTTTAACTTTGAAGATTCTTGCTCAACATCGGTCAATGTTTCTTTACACAAATGTCAAAGTGCATGACGTATGCAGCAAATAATAATTAAAAAAATGATGAGAACAGTGAAAGCTTTTAATGATAAAGCCAAACTGGAAATGAAGCCGAGCTTTGGAACAGGACCGCCATGTTTATTTTTTTTTTGCCCGGTAATGGGTGCCAGACCTACAATTCATAGACAAGAGGGCGTCGGGGAATTGTAAGGCCAGGGAACTAGACTAAAAATTGTGATCATTTGAACGCAAGATTGTACAGGCTAAAATACGCCGTAGAAGTGTGACGTCACGCGGGGTCGTATTGACCGTTCCACGCAATGTCACGGGTGACTGTGAACACTACTACAATTGAGATTTCTCAGATAGTAAGAATATAAAAAAGATTGTAAAATGGGGCAGTGCTCGATTCGTAGCAAACAGAACTTGACGGATATGTTTTTTTTCCTTCAAATTTCCAACGGATAAAAAAACGACAAAAAAATGGGCACTGTGCTATTGTCTTGAAGGCGAGGTTAGTATTGAAACATAACGCCAAGCAACGCGTGACCTCAACGGCGTATGACGTAACCAATCTACGGCACATATAGACTTTGACTGCTGGGAGATATTTGTGATCATCCACGAATGCAGGGGAAAACTGTACAATCTGAAAGGATAACATTCCTCGGATATCGAGTATTATGCATCACAGAAGACGAACAACAAAAAGGTGTCAATTTTGGAACATTATAACCACGGTAGAACCTTAGCTTTGATTTCAGGTGCTAGCTGCGGACCACTGAGTATGTGTTTATGCCAGGCGCGGTTCTAGAACCAATATTTTTGGGGGGCTAGCACGGTGGATCTAGAATTTTTTCAGGGAGGCGTTCGACCGGTTATTTTTTCCAGACACTTAGGTCTCCGAAAATCAATGGGGGGGGGGGGGCCTCATGCCATATTTTCAATGGAGAGCGCCAATAAAATCCTAAAATCATTCACACTATATTAACTAATGCACCCTTGTCACGGGTGCACATTCGCATGCACATTACAATCCTTCTTTTTCCTAATGCAATTTTTTTTTTACGGAATTTATTTTTGGAGGGGGCTAGACAAAATTTTTGGGGGGCTACAGCCCCCTAGCCCCCCCGTAGAACCGCGCCTAGTTTATGCACGAGTGACGTATTTGTGCCACGATAATGCAACACTGCAAGGACTTTTAATGCACAATTGCTCCCTTAGTCGTGATTGTTAATTATAAAGGATTTCCCATTTTTTGAACGTCACAATGCGAGCTTGATAATGCAACTCTGTCTTCCCTCACTGGAAACGCATTAAAATGACACAGGGCCTTAGGGAGTAGTTGGCCAATATAGTACACACAGGTGCGTTTCCAGTATTTGTTACAAATAACTAAAACGGAGAGACACAATGACCTGCTTAGCTGCGTTCCCGCAGTTAATAAAACCTCTATGCTTCCTCTCCGCCGGTCCTTTTGTATCATTCTCTCTAGTTAACTTACCCAAGACGCGGCCTTCATGATATTGACCATGGATTTCCTCTTGAGGCAAGATAAAAGTCGGGAACTACTCCCCGAGCTCCCTGGCAACCAGCAGAGCGCAGCCTTACCGAGATTTAAGGCGTCCTCTCGGGCCTTGGCTGTGGCCATTAATGCCCACGGTGCTGTTGCTATTCCACTCTGAGATGAAGAAAATCGAATTTACTGCAATGGATAATATTCATGTGTTTTAGGCTACAATGAAAGCATGGGCGTCGCCAGGATGGGGGGGGGGGGGGGGGGGGGGGAAAAATTGAAAAAGGAGAAAAATAATGACAAGAACAGGAGAGATTCGAAGTGAATATGTTACTGTTTAATGTATACTGAGCAGGAGAAACTGCTTAAAGAACTCCAAAACGCGGTTTTGGTAAATACGTAATTAAACTGTTATGAACAGCGCCTCCAAGCGTCAAATCACGCCCCCTTGCTTTTCTATTTTTTTCCCGCTGATCTATTCAACGCTTTCATTGAGTGCCTTACCCTATGACACCCGAATATGAAAGTGCTCAAAATGTAAACACTATATAGTCGTTTACTGAGCAATTGCACAGACTTGTATTCGAGTCACCAAACATTTAGTCACCGAGTCCGAGTCACGACTTACGCAGGTCGACTCCGAGTCACGAGCTATTCAAGTCGGGATATCACAGTCATTTATTTTGTACGGAAATGCTGTGTGACGGACGCTGGTGGGGGAAGGAGAGACTGCATCGGTATACGCAGCCTCCATTTGAGTGGTCAGGGAGCACTTAAGTCTGCTGCCACCAAGTGTCCGACCAAGTCTCAGTCTTCAAAGGCGTGGATCACACACATTAATCACATGCCCACTTACCTCCATGATAGCCCTGTCGTAGTAACCCCAAGATTGCTTGGCGAGAGTCATGAGGCTGACCGATGCGCCACCAGCACTCTGTCCGAAGATTGTGATCCTGCTGCTGTCTCCTCCAAAGTCTGGAACAATGACGATTATTCAATGAGATGAAAAGGGCGGCAATTTGGGTGTTTGACAAACCGTGGCTTCGTCCCTGACCGTGTACTTCATTGATGGTATCAGACACATTTCAAGATTTTAATATCTGAACCAAACGGAAATACTCCCCCAATACAAATGGCCTTGCTACGCCACATGGGGCCACAGCAATCAACCATTTTCCACTGAATCAATCTTTGTTCCTATATCTGGGACGTATCAACATATCAGATTTTATTTCTCTTGCGATTAGGGATGCTATAGGAGAAGCTAATCAATAAGATCTTGGAGTGCATGGGTCAACCCCCGCCCCTCTCTTGAGTGCACCACTGCTTATCGTCTTAAAGTCACACACTCACCAGCGATGTGTTCCTTGACCCATTTGAGTGCTTCAAGCTGATCCCACATTCCGATGTTACCTGGAAAATTGTCGTCCCCTGCAAAAAAGTGGAGTGCGCTCAAAATACGGACAGCATCATTTGAATAGTTCGGGAATTAGAATAAACCAAACTTCGCGAGGGGAAAATGTAGTTTTGCAATGAGTGGAGGCCAAATAATAAGGGAACGGATTGCATGCAGTGCAGCATCAATATACTGCGCTCGTTGGAGTACAGAAAATCCGTTATTTTGGGCCGTCGGCATTTTTCTTCCAGGCATTTTTCTTCCATCCTCAAAATCCACCAGCGGTCACAAAAATACTTCTTCTCGAACCTAGATCTTAAGAAAGTATTTCTTTCGGGTCTGTGTTCCAAAGGGGAAAGTCCGAATGACATTTTGCCCTAGAGCGGCCCAAAATCATTTTGTTCGCCCCTGAAAAGTCGTCAAATGTGGAAACTTGCTATATACATTGTATCCTTGATGGGAAATGATGTCGCTTATAATTTTAACAAAATTTGTATTTTGCATAAATGGCAGAACGCCAGACTTACCAGTGCTGAGGAATCCGAACGGTCCGAGTCGGTAGTTGAAATTGACCACGATAACGTCATGATAGGCGGCCAGGGGAAGCCCACTGATACCCTCCATGGAACCAGAGCCCACCAGGAACGCCCCACCGTGGATGAACAGCATTACGGCAGCATTGCTCGCCTAACAAACATGTGGGATATAAACACACCAATTTCGAGCTCAACATGCAGGGGCATGTAGGGGGAGGAGGTGTTTATCAGCAAATCAATGCTGAAAATGTAGACAGTTTTTTTTCCTCCCGACACTTGGCCTCCGTAAAATCACTGGGGGGGGGGGGTCTTACTTTTCAACGGGAGCGCTGTTCAAATCTGACGATGATGTACACTATATTACAGAATAGTGTATAAAAATACTACGGGTACCCCCAGCTGGCTCAGTCCGAATGCTGTGTACTGGCGAACATTATTACCGGTATACTTGTCATAATATTTTTTAAATAATAATTTAAGTTTGACCTACCACCCCCCTCTGGATCCGCGGCTGAGCATGGAATGGATTTATACCCAAATACCCAGCGCTGTACCCATGGGCTTGAGTGTGGTAACAAAGTATGTCCGTTGCCTCTAAGGGGCCATTCAAAATTTTCGATGTTTTTAAATTTCGGTGTTTTTTTTTTAAATTGTTTTGACCCACCCACCCACCCACCCAAATTTTCGATCTTAAAATATTGATTTTCCATTCAATAAAAAAAACATAACGAATGTTCAGTTTATTGACGGCGGAATGCAGCTGCAGTCCGTATACAATACATTTGCAACAACACGGCCCACTGGCATTCCCGTACGTATAGGGAATACACCTGGAAATACGTACAACTTGTCCATTCTAAACGGTAATAATAAGTATCAGGTCGCTCTAAAAAAAAACTTTTGTCTAGGCGTAAAGAGGTGTAATGACTCCCATTATTCATGAAGTTTATTTAGAAATTTCAGTCGTTTTGATAGAAAAAGCAAATTTGAACTCTCAACTTGCGCTTTAGTCTTGAACACAAGTAGGGTTATTTCGTTGTCGCGATTCGTAACCGACACTCGTGGCGTGTATTAAGACAAAATGAACCTGGTATCCTTCTCCATTGGAGCGGCACACTGATTTTACGCATGTTTTAACTTCACTGGTCCCCATGCATATGGTGCTCCGATGGACGTATACACAATACACGGTACATTGTACATGTACCGGATGCATACTGTACCCGTACGGTACGGGCAAAGGGTTTCCGAATCGGAACGCAGAGAGTTGAATCGGAAGTCAAAAGAGCTATTTCTATCTTTTTAATTGAAAAAAAAAAGAATTTCGATTAACAAAAATTTCAATAAATTAATTTGACCACATCCCACCCACTTTGTCGAAATTTAAAAACATCGAACATTTTGAAAGGCCTCTAAAAGGCTGTGACATATTATGTGATATCATTTGGCAATACCTGGTTAGGCACCCAGATGTTCATATAAAGGCAGTCCTCTGCGCCAATGACGCCGATCAGGGTGGAATCCAGCTGCGGGCATATGGATCCGAACACCGTCGCGTCCAGGTCACCAGACCATGGCTTCTTAGGCTGGGGTTTGGCGAAGCGCTCTGGTGGCTCAGCGAAGGGGATTCCCCGGTAGACATCTACGAAGGTGTCCAGGACAGGATAGGTCTCACGCTTGAAATGTACGGTCTCTCCGACCACGGCACCGAGACCGTTGATGTTGACCCGCGGATTTTCGCACAGAGCACCGAAGGGACCCAGGGCGGTCATGATCGTCAGAATCGCTAGTTCAACCAACATCGTGAACCAGCTTCGTTGGACAAAAATACAGTGTTGTTGTATACACACAAAATGATTAGTTAAAAAAAAATGGTAAAAAAGTACACAATTTAAGTACAAGTTTACAAAACGAATTGACAGAATCGTCGTGAAACTTGAAACAAACAAAAATAATAATAATGTATATTTAATTTGCAATAGTTATGTGAACACGTTCAGAATTTTCTTTTCCAGTGTGGTAAACTTTACAATGTCGTAATGTGCTTTTCCCAAAGAACAAACGCATGAAGCTCCTTCTTAAACCAACTTACGCCATCGGCCGAGGATCCAAGGAATTTAAGGAGACGTTCAGACTTAGAAATAAGCCCAGTTTACAATTTACCATCCACTTTATTGGGTAAATAGGTACGAATTGTGCTCTGTATACATATTACAACTAAGAAGATATCTTTGCAATTAACGGACAATGATACAACCAAACGTGACATGATTCAAAAAGACAAATTCATTTTGCGTAAGTTTATTAGTTCAACGTAAATATGTACTCACGTTATTATTGAGCTAGTTGAGGTCGAAGTGTTGTGCACCCACTGACTGCTCTTTCTGCTTGTATCTGTGTTTTATGGTGATCGAGTTCGAGATGCGTCAAAGCAACATGAACAGCATCTTTTATAGCTTTGAAGGTACATCAATGCGGAGTTCATTACAGTAATACAGCCATATAGGAATCAGAACAAATTGGAACCCTCCATTATTCGGGGGGGGGGGGGGGGTTAATAAAATACTCACATCATTGGCAAAGTGCCAATTCTCTTTTTGATTTCCTCGCCCTAACTGTTTTCCCTTTGATATACTGGTGTATAGCCTTGCGCTTCTGTACGTACATGTATTGGAGATCCGGTTTGGGAGGTACGTCCATGAACAGAGAATGGTGCCGTTTGGCCTTTCGCGTGAGTTCCCGCTTGTTGTAGACTTGAAATGTGACTTTACATCACGGCACATAACAGAACAGTTAACGCGCTCAATTAAAGCTGCTTCAATCTTATTGGCTACCGTGTGCCCCTTGGCGGCTTCATCTTACCGGCAGTCCGATCGGCCAACTTTTCCAGAATGCCTGTTCGTGTCGCGTAACGTAGACCCGACTCGTCCGCGTGCTGAGTATACACATAATACACACTCAACCCCTCACTGCGGTACGACGGCTGCCGAAAGTGCTTTCTTTCCGACCTGAAAGTACGCCATTTTGTCTTTGAGTTTCCGTACCCTCCTCAACACGTCGAGCGGCATTTTACACGGGGTTGCCCTTTCTGTTGCTATAATTTTGACAGAAAGAATTCTAACCACAATCACCCAAGAAAATTTCATGTTGGAATTATATCTCAGCATTTCACAAGATATCACTTGGAGATAAGTTAAAACGAATTTCACGTTGCGACTTTTCACATCGGGATAGGTTTCTTTGTTCGATCACGCTTGTTTTCAAATCGCGTATTTGAGTGAGAAACAATGATAATTAGTCATAAGATGGCATTTCATAAGAAGGGCAAAACATAATTTTGATTAACATCACCCCGACTCAAAAATGCCATATTAGGAATAGTTAATGCGGTACCCGCTGCTATCAGACTCGATTGAACGTAGCTTTTGTGACTATTATTTCCTGGCTTGGGTCAAACAACGCAACGTTCTTAAATCCTTACTCGTAGGCCTATTTGATAGTGCGCCAAACCAGTAAACTTTTCTATTCAGATAAACTCTTTATACCCTATACGTTTTACCGCGTGTGTCTTTCAAGTAACTGGCGATCCTCCACCACCGATTGACGCCCATGATTGGCAGTCAGTTTTTGTAATTAATCCTGTTTTAATGTCTGAATTGGCGTGAAGTAAATTGAGTTTGATGTATATATATATATATATATATATTTTAGAGATCCTACTGCGATCCATCTGCATAGCCACGCATGCCAGTATTGCGTGACACAGGGAATGCACTTAGGCATTGTTCGTTGACTGTTGGCGTTGTATTGTCAGAGCACGAATGTATACTGAACTCGGAGAACTATAGTGCGCCGAGCCAGCAAAATTTTCTAAAAAAACCCCAAAACTCTTTACAGGCTGTATGTTTTTTCCAGGTGTGTCTTTCAAATAACTAACGGATCTATTTGAGGCCAAAACCCTAGAAATGTGTTCGTGTACGAGCACAAGCTAGCTGTTTTGTCTGTTTTTGAAATGGCTCTGTGGCGAGATGACAAAATGTTTCATCATGAATTCATGATGTCACTAATTATAACATTATAAGTGAACTGGACTTTTAATTCTCTATATATATGCCTAAGAAACATGCCCATATAATGTGAGGTCATATGACACGTGATGACGTCATCATAATTCATCATGACGTCACTTAGATTCACATGTATAACACTTTGCTGTCTATATACCCAACTAAAGATTCAACCGAATCAGACTTGTACTTCAGAAGATATCGCGCTTAGAAAAATGCATCTTTAATGTGACGTAACTTGACGTCTGATTACATCATCGCAATGAAAATCTTCGGCAGGCATCTTCAAATGTGGCCTAAGTGTGTGCCAAGTCTAAAGTCGATCGGATTTACGAAAGTGCCAAAATTGTATGGGTAGAAGAAACGGAGTCTGAAAAAAGAAAAAAAAAGAAACATGAAAGGGGAAAGGGGGGGGGGTGATGGGGAAAAGGGGGAAAAGGAAAAAAATATAAAACTTTAACGAAAACAAGAGCTGCTTCGGAGAGTTTAGGCCCTACTCCGAAACAACTACCAAAAAAAAAAAAAAAAAAAAAAAAAAAAGGTTGCGACGCGAAACATGGTGCATCGATCTTGTTACATGTACTTAGATTTCATGCAGTTTCATGCACCTTTCTCAAGAGAAATTAAGTTTTTGTAATAAATCCTGTTATCTGAACTTATGTGAAGTAAATTTCGTCTAGTTTTCAGATATCCTATTGCGATCCCATCTGCATAGTCACTTATGCCGGTATATTGCATGACACAGGGAAGTGCAATGGGAGATCCGTGCCAGGGCTCGGCTGTCGCCGACTCAGCGAGTGATTGAGTGGGTGAAAGTGCAACATTACTGAGCGCAAAAAACCCTCTTGATTTGATATCTTTGTCGATGGATATTTCTTTTCATTTTATAATGCAATGTAATTTGAAACATGTTTTGGTAGACCAAGTCAGAACTGTCACATTTCAATCCAACAGCAGTATTGTATTTCATGTATTCATAGGAATAATGATTGATGTTCTAATTGTGACGCTATAAAGTATCTCAGAAGATTTCTCAAATTCTGAAAAAAACCCTGGTCCCCCTGTAATGCTGTGAGATGAGGTTTGTGTCTAAAATGACATCACACTTATACTCATGAATATGCAAATTTGCATAAGCATACAAACCAAAAAGTACCCTTAAAATGGCAAATGAAAATGGAAAACAAGGTTAGTGGGACATAAAGATACATATTCAAGGATTGAATCAAAAGAAATTAATATACAGACAAATACAGTCAGTCACAAAAGCTCGAATACGCTTGTTGTCAAAGGAATAGGTTTTGGTCTTTATTTATCTTTTAAAAGGAAATAAGGCAAGAATGTTCCCAAAGTAGACAAACTTTAATTAAGTTCAACTGATTTAGAATGACTCAACAGAACGCAGAATAAGCTGAAGTAGCGAAGTGATGGTATTAAGAACAATTGAGACGACCTAATGTACATGTGGTATAGATGCTAATTCACATACATGTACATGAATAGGTAGAAAAAACCGGCCCAATTGAACAGCGGATCGTCCACCCACAAGTGACGGTCAGTCATTGAGTCAGTCATTGAGTCAGTCAGTGGATTAAAAACATTCCTCCGTATTAGTCAACTGGGACAAGTGGCATGGGTGGCTTGTGCGTAAAGCGCTCGCCTCTCACCAAGGTGACCACGGTTCGAATCCTGGCCGCGGATCGCATGTGAGTTGTGCATTGGTTCTCTCCTTTGCCACGTGGGTTTTTCTCCGGGCCCTCCGGTTTTCCTCCCTCCGGAAAAATCAAACACTTTCGATCTCAGGCTGTGCTCCGTGGTCATATATGGGTCGATGTGGCCGGCAGTCATAGGCGCCTTTACGTGCCAGCGGCCCGACCACGTTGTAGCCGCGTCCGTCGCAATTCAGCATACCAGCTGCGAGTAAGGATGATTAGCCTCCCAAATTATTTTCATTATTATTATTATTATTATAAAAGGATGTATTAGAGAGGTTCGGCAAACGGGAAAAATTTCACGTATCCGTATACATGTATGTATCCGTATGACGTCACACGTATACGCATACGTTTCGGGAATGTAACATTCAGTTTCAGCATCGCGCAGCCACGTACACGTAGGGCCTACTTTCCTTATAAATTTATTTTTGTTTTATTAATTACCTTCTCTCAGAAGTACGTAGAAAGAGCTTACCACTCCATATTGGGACTTACACTACTTTATCACATGGGCCTTATGATATAGATGTGTTTCTGAAACAAATGACCTGCATTTAAAATTAAGAGATCTTCTGAGGACCCGAAAACATGTCTACAAACAAAAAGCCTCAGGCACCGTCTGGTAGTAGTATACGTGTCTGTATTGAACTCCCACACACAGCTATAGGTATCGTAGTACAGTACTTTGTACATGTGCATAACATCACGCTTCGCTGGCCTCAAGCTGCCATTATTAACGCACAAACGATTATGCATAAACCAGACAACTTTCATGCCTCAACATCTACGAAAATCCCTACATTTTCCGCAACATGTACCCTCAAAATTACTCCCAAAGCAATGTGAGATGTATTAGGCCAAAAAAAAAATTCGGTCTCTGGTCAGACCAAAGTTCCGGAACTGACGCGGCCACGCGGATTTTTTTTTTTTTTTCTTCTTCAAGCCTGGATTGTACAGACAAGGTGGGGTACTATTTTGCTTTTTTGGTGTCCTCATGTACATTGGTGTCCTCCATAATTTGCCGTGGTGCTTTCGATCATTTGCCTTGGTGCAATTTCCCATTCCTTGGTGCTCTTTGGTAAAAAAAAAATGAGGAGGTGCGGAAATAGAGGGCGGTGTTAGAGCTACCGCGGAACATTTTGGAAAAAAAGATCGACGCGCATGATTAAAATCGACGCGCGCGCTGACCAGAGACCGACTTATTTAATTTTTTTTGGCCTTATGCGTCATGTAATTAGAAGTGAGAAGTTTTAGAGACATCATTTTGGCACAAGTTTGGTGTAACATCGACAAACTTTCATACGTATCGCTCCCGTATCCTTACTATAATTCGAGGAATCTCCAAGGGCGGATCCAGGGGGGGGGGGGTGGCCAAAGGGGGCCATGCCCCCCAAAAACGAAACCAATTTTTTTTTATGTGACATCGCAATAAAGGCAGGCAATGAGTACACCACCATCTTTTCCTCAAAAAAACATTGGTTAAAGTTGTCAGAAATTGCCTCAGATCGCACCACAGAGCATCTACAATCCAAAAAGTTTTCGGGGCCCTTAAGCGGGCCCCGAACCCCACGCCGTACTTTTTTTGACCCATTTTTTGGGGGGACCAAATTTTTTTTTTTGGCCTCCCCCAAAATTGTGTTCTGGATCCGCCCTTGGGAATCT